TTGAGTAATTAAACTGTATTAAGAAACGAAGAACAAGTGAATAAATCGTGCTTCGTAAAACAGAGAATTGTAAACTCATGTGGTGTTTAAATCAGAGTATGTGGTCCCTAAGTTTTGAGCGGCTGTGTAATTGAAAATGATGATGTTGCGTCAGAACGAGCCCCGTTACTTCTGGCTAATTCGTTTACGAAATCCTCGGTCGAATGCACTTTATCGTTGCATAATTTCGTAAGGAACGCGCTCGGGAACGGCGCTCTGGGTCGCATTAATTTTATTAGTAATGGGCACAATAACCGTAATACGTAGGCGGAACGGAGATAACCGTAATCGCCGGGGGTAAGCGTGGGGATTGTTTCCCTTAATCACTTTCTTGCAACTCGAAGGGCTCTCTAATTTCGCAGACAGCTCGTTGGCGGAGATTCTTGTCAGAGGCTCGGTTCGTGTACATAGGCGAACGTACTCCCGCAGTTTGTTCGTCGAATCCGAAACGGTTCGACGAACGAAAATGCTGTTGCGTCCCAACGGTAGATTCGCCAACCTAACGGACGGTAGCTTTATGCTTTTTACATTTTTACGACCCTCGAAATTCTTAAATTCTTCATTTTATTAATATCCAAAACTATTCGATTGGAATCTATTTTCTGTTCGTCGATTACTACACTGTTTTACGTAGACCATCATTAATTTCAATTTTTTAATTTTGTCAGTATATTCCATGACTCTAAATAAGAAAAAAAATATTTAGAAACATGGATGTGGCTATTTATGCTTTCCACAATTTTATTGCCCTTGAAATTCTTAAATTCTTCATTTTATTAATATTCATTTTATCCAATACTATTCGATTGGAATATATTTTCTGTTCGTCGATTACTACACTGTTTCACGTAGACCATTATTAATTTCAATTTTTTAATTTTGTCAGTATATGACTCTAAATAAAGAAAAAAATATTTATAGAAATGGATGTGGCCATTCATGCTTTTCACAATTTTATTGACCTCGAAATTCTTAAATTCTTCATTTTATTCAGTACCATTCGATTGTATTACTATATATTTTCTGTTCGTCGATTACTACACTGTTTTACGTAGACCATCATTAATTTCAATTTTTTAATATTGTCAGTATATTCCATGACTCTAAATAAGAGAAAAATGTTAATAAACTCAAATCATTTGAAACTTCATGAAAAGGTTATCAGTATCGGTAAATGAAATACATATTTGCATATTCTCGATATGTGAATACTCGTGAAATTTCAATATGGAGTTCCAACAATTTACTAATTAACCTCAAATAATAAACCCAGCTTCGTATTCCATATTTGTATAACTTTTTAATTAAGCTTCGAGCAACCTATGATTATAAAAATATTGTCTTAATATACAATATACTGACGTTTGTACATTAAACCCTGAAACAACCTCTACAATATGAGATATCATTTTGTTTGACTTCCATCATCAAATTATATTATATAAATATTTGTTCGCTAAAATCTCTGAAAACGAGATGCACATGAGGTTAAGAAAGAATTTAAAAACAGCCTGAAAGCAAAATCACTATTTTATATCAGATTCAATCGAATGGAACGTGTATTTTGATCATCGATATGGGGGTTAATCGATCGAAGTGAATCTTTACGCGCAGCGCGCAACTTTCTCACGCAGGTTGGCGTCAATTTATATTATATAAATATTTGTTCGCTAAAATCTCTGAAAACAAGGTGCACAGAAGATTAAGAAAGAATTTAGAAGCAGCCTGAAAGCAAAATAATGTTTTATATCTGATTCAGTCGAATAAAACGTGTATTTTGATCATCGATATGGGGGTTAATCGATCGAAGAGAATCTTTACGCACAGCGCGCAGACTTCACGCGCAGGTTGGCGTCAAATTATATTATAGAAATATTTGTTCGCTAAAATCTCTGTAAACGAGGTGCACAGAAGATTAAGAAAGAATCTAAAAGCAGCCTGAAAGCAAAATCATTGTTTTATATCTGATTCAATCGAATGAAACGTGTATTTTTGGCATTGATACGGGGGTTAATCGATCGAAGAGAATCTTTACGCGCAGGTTGGCGTCAAATTATATTATATAAATATTTGTTCGCTAGAATCTCTGAAAACGAGGTGCACAGGAGATTAAGAAAGAATCTAAAAGCAGCCTGAAAGCAAAATCATTGTTTTATATCTGATTCAATCGAATGAAACGTGTATTATTGGCATTGATACGGGGGTTAATCGATCGAAGAGAATCTTTACGCGCAGCGCGCAGCTTTCTCGCGCAGGTTGGCGCGCGAAAAAGTAAAATGCAAAAATGGCGCGCGGCTGGTTGACACGCGTCCACGTTGGCGTGAAAACGAGTAGGAAACGAGGGAAAACGACGATTCTCGGGTAACGGGGCGCGTTTCGTGCGCTGCGCGCCGTGACGAGAAGAAAAAGAAGACAAAGTAGAGGAAGAAGAAGTTTCGTGTTCTTCGATAGGGGGGCTAACGATGGAAGTAACTTTTCTTGGCAGCCTGGGAAAAGTTCCGGGCGGCTGAACCGCGCGATAAAGTGGCTTTCGATACATGACGGAAACTTCTATGATTTAGATCGTCGTTGCCATCTAGCCGATGCTCGTGTTCCGTAATAAATTTCGTTAATGGAGAACCCGGCGGTTGTTTTTCACCGATTTTTCACCGTCAGAGTTGGTCCCGCCGGAGCAACGATGTAATAAAATACGTTTCGAATATCAATTTCAGGGCGAGTCGCGTTGATATAAGTCTTTATAATTAATACAACGTCTTTTTCAAAATAGACGAAAATTAGAATTGAAAATAATGTCCAGAGACCCTCAAGGACTTAAAAATTATCTTGTAGAAAACTAAATTGCTCCCTGAATATTTATTCAGGCTTTTGTCGAAATTAATTTTCGCGTATTCGCGAACAGGTGTATCGAACGATCTGAATCGGTTCATTAATGCAACGGTGTAGAAACGTTTATAATAATTTCCAGCGATTCGTTCGGTAAACGCACGGACGATTAAACGAGTTCGTAACAAACTATTCATTCGTGTCGTAATTAAATCGCGCTGTTTCTAGGTTTGCGTCGAAATTACAGAAATTTATTTCGCCACCGGTCGACAGTGGTTTCATCGAATAAAGAAATTGCAACGATTAAATTAAGATTATTTGTTGCGCCGCTGTTCGACGGCTTTAATTTGACTTTCAAAACGGACGGAAGTTTCCGTTTGTTAATATTACGGGAATCGCGGGAAACAGCGGGACGATGTCAAACGAAACAAAACTTTTGAAGTCTTCATTACTGTTTGGAAATATTCAAAGGGCTCGCGAACAATCAAATGTTGTTTGACGCGACGTTTTTACATATGTGAACCTCGTTTATTGCTTTTTCTAGCAGTTTTGCATCAATATGTATATACTCCAGTCTTCCATGGAAGACACGAAAGTATTTTTCGATAATTCTGTTATTTTTAATAATTGGATCAGTTCAAATTTTAATTTGATCACGATATAAAATTTTTGCTAGAAATATAATTGTATTATATATTGAGTGCTCTGTAAAATTGAATTATCTCTTTTATTGTACGAAGTTGAGATACAAGTACATTTTCACGTAAATATTTAAATCGAGAACCGTCGAAGCTGCATTTATCATCGATCGTGTGTAATTCATGCTCACGTGGCGATGTTTCACAATTTCGTAAAACTTTCAGCGACTATTGGTTCCGACAGAGATACTGGCGAACTTATGGTCGCGCTCACACGACATGTAAAACCGTGCAAAGTGTCTTTTATCGTTCTCATGATTGTTGAATGTGCACAAAGATAGTTTGTCACTTGGACGTTTATGTCCACGCATAATATCGATATTGGAACTTTATATTTAACTTTGCATCGGTTGTACTTCGATGTCAAATTAAATTAGAATTTTTTTGATTTTCTAAAAATTGTTTAAAACTATTATAAAACTATACTATAATATTTATGTATCTTCCGCCAGATAAAGCACCTTATTCGCCATTTTCAAACAAAAGTTAATTTCCTAACGAAGAGTGTAACATCATAGTTTGTAAATTTCCTGGAACCAAGGAAGTTTCAACAAATTCAACGAAAGTTTACAAATGGCTGACTGTGATAAATGCAATTAAACTTGTCGAACTTCAAACGCAATCGATCAATAGTTACTCGTAAGAAAGGCTAAGAATTAACTTTCTCGAACGTTGAAAATCGAGGAGAAAAATGTTGACGACGATTGACAAGGTATTCGTGAATTTTATAGAGCTTAATCGTTTGGTGCAGTGCAGTTTTCTGTATTTGGTGAAGTTTAAGGGAAAGTGGGTCGAATAGCGATTAAAAGTGCAGTTTTCACGAAACAATTAATCGACGCGAAACTTCGAATTGTCGAACGCAGGTGGGATATACGTGTATGTAGAAAATGGTACACATTGGGGATTTGATCGCCATTATGGAGGAACGTGACTTCGACAGAGACACCATCGATACGGACTCTCTGGAGTTCGAGGTAAACTTCGTGCTTGAAATCGAGTAAACGGGAATTAAAATATAGTTGTATCCTTAATTCGCCAAACTGAACAACAAATATAATAACATCGATCGAAACAACGATCACAGAGGCTCAAATTTTATTTTAAGTTCGAGGTAACGAAACTTCGTGCTTGAAATCGAGTAAATGGAAATTAAAATATAGTTGTATCCTTAATTCACCAAACTGAACAACAAATATAATAACAACGATCACAGAGGCTCAAATTTTATTTTAAGTTCATCTAATTTGATATTCTAAAAAAAATGTAACTGTTCACTGTGACGTGAGATCTACCAGAAATTAAGATTGTAAGCTTGTTTTGGATCCCACAGATTACTAAAATACAAAGGATTTGGCAAAGAGGCTAAAAAGTTCTCCAAGGGTTGTTATAAGTTAATTTAATTTAGTTTCATTACGCTGAAAGCATTTTCTGTTATTGCAGGCTATACACTTGTCATCGTGCCCGAAGCAGTTGGATCTCAGCAATGGAGGTCTGTCAAGGATTCCTGACAGCGCTGTAGCATTCCCCGCCATTGAAGAGCTGGTGCTGAGCCAAAATCAGCTTACACACACCAACAACAACCTGACGCTTCTGCACAGGTACGATGTTCGAAATAAAGCTCGAAATCTTCCAAAGTAGTGTGTTATCCTATCCCAAATTATAGAATGTACCTTTAAAGAATTATTAAAATCAATGATGATCGTCTTTGATCATTTGTAAAGTTTCAATTATAGTTAAGCTATTAAAACAGTTATCAAGCTTCTAATAAATAGCAATACAAGATTATATAAAGACCAAAAAAAATCAGTCTATAAAAATTTTAAATAGATTCTACGTTGAAGATATTTTATTTTCTCATAGATTAATCATGAAGCTTCTAATAAATTGTAATATGAAAATTGTGTCAATTAGTAAAGGGTTTCAAATGTTTCTAAAGAGTTGCAACGAATGATTAAATTAGCAATTAAGCTCCCCAAAGCTTCTCTAATATAACAATTACGAATCTCACGACGAACGAAACGATTGGATTATTTATTAGGGCTATGATTGCAACGACTCGATTGCAGTTAAATTTTTTGTGTCGAAGGTTCCCGAAACTTCATATTCTCCATGTGGAGGGCAACGAACTGAAGAAAATTCCGCAAGAGTTACTGGAGCTCAGGGGACTTACCTACCTCAATCTCTCGGACAACAAAATCGAGAAGATTCCGGCTGACATAAGCCAGCTTATCAAGTATGTAAAGTCAATTTTATCAGATTTCGATCCACGATAAATGCTACGAACCTACCCCTCAGAAAAATGGGGTTCGATGCATTTTTTCATAAAGAAAAATATCCAGAAGGATACACAAAGAATTAATATTTACCAATTACCAGTCATAAATTGGAACGAAAGGATTAGGAATGGCTGTGTCAGACGTTTCGACGAATTTCCAAACGCAAAGTGCTTCGACAATCGGTATCGATTCCCCTTTCCACGGCCAGTTGTCCACGGAATAGGTGATTTATCTTAATTAGCACATTGTCGACTAGGTAAGGGCGTTTGCGGATGCTAGGAAATCGACAAATAATATATCCAACTGGGTGGTTCGTTCGATTAATTAACGGATAACTTTCTATTATCGGCGGGCGGAAGGGCTGTTGATTTATCGGGTTGATCTGCGATGCGATAAACTCCGATTACCTTTGGAAATCGAACCCGAAAGCTCTATATTATTAATGACTGTGGTGTACTGTCGATGAGAGATGGAAAATGGAAGGAAGGTGGAGCGCTTGCGAGAGAGACGAGAACGTAGCCCTCTAGCGGCGAGTACGGGAGTCATTTTCCACTAAAAATTCTTAGAACTCCATCGTGAGTGCAACGAAGATCAATAGTGGGTTAAAAACAAAATGGCATCACAAATAAGTCCAGTATAAAATCTTGCAATTTTTGTTGATTCTTCTAATCGATTCAAACGCGTAATCAATTATGTGGTGTATTAAGTAAAATTATTAGATATAAATTATTAGAAATTTCATTGAGAATAAATGGAGAACTATAAGTCTTCTAGTCGATTCAAACGCGTAATCAATTATGTGGTGTATTAAGTAAAATTATTAGAAATTTCATTGAGAATAAATGTAGAACTATAAGTTTTTTCTTTTTATAGTATTTCGATAAAAATAAAATAGTGGGTCAAATGGTGTTCCCTGTGGGATCGTACAGTTTCTGTTTGAAACACTTTTCGCTAAAATCATTACTTACGGGGCCGTAATCGGAATGGTTCGAGTAATTAAAGTTAGTTTAGTTGCACAAGTTATGCGCAACGCGAACTTGTATTTGGAAGTTTAAGGCTTCCTCTGCTTCGCTATTCGGGGATTTGGCTAATTCGTATAGCTGCATACTTGCAAACAGCTACTATTGAAACAGCAAAATAACGTCGATGTTCTGGGAGTAGTAACAATATTTACAATAATTATTATCTACATCAAATAGGTATAAATACACACACACAAATAACAAAACACACTTTTCTTCAATAATTTTCATTCCCTCTTCGTTGCTGAAGTTATTTTTCTCTTTAAAAAAGTGATAATAATAAATTAATCAGCAGACAATCACTGTTAAACGAGGGGGCAATTGTTTATAATTTTTTCATTATAAATCTCTAATTTTGTTGTACTTTTGTGGAACCATATACGTTGACTTTATTTTCAAGTTTGCCAACTTAAAAAAATTAAAATTAGTGTTTCTTGAATTTAGGGACCCCCTTCCCAAAAGGGCAAATCGCTGTGCCGTTTGCTTTTGTTTTTTTCTTTCTTACGAACCCTGTATAACGTATGCAACGAGACCCGATTCGAGGATGCGAGGTCCGTGCAATTAAGGAGGCAGAGGTTACGCAAAACTTCTCGAAAACTGCTTTCCATCGAGCGGAAACGTGGATGCCAAAGCCCCTGGCAGAAGGAGGAACTACGGGCGTGAGCACGAGCCCGCCGTCACACACACGGCTGTTTTACACGTCGGGTACACGCGTTGAAAAAGAAATCACGAACGAAGACGCATACACAGAGCGGCTGAAAAACCCAAGTCGACTGTCCGTTCACCGGTAGAATGGAGTTGGGCAACAAACGCTCGGCCAGAAGTCATGCATGAGGGGCGCAGTGGCGCAGAAACGGCCAAGGAAGAGGAGCCTAACCGCGAATTAATGCGAAACTTTCCAATAATCGCGCGGATCGACGGCCACGTTTGCACGTCGAATTACCAAATCGAAATTATCGGTGTTCCAGAAAATATCGCGACCTGAAAGCTTCTCCTTTGCCAATTAATCGTTGCACTTTCACGATCGATGCGTTATACTTAAACGCTGTTTCTCACGTAAATAGACAGCACAACGATTTCTGAATAGCCTACTTACTTCGTCTAGATGTTGCAGCTTGAAAAATTTAGCGACGATTCGAGGAAATTGCGCTTCAAAACGCCTATGAATGGGTGTTTCTCGTTAACGAGAAACGATCCTGGTAATTGGCAATGCTAATTGTAATACATACCGGTGGAGTTATTCAATAAAAAATTCTTCGAATCACAACCGAAACGCGGCTTAAGTAACCGACTTTCTTCTGCCTCGAAGATACAAAAGGCTGAATTTAATTAACATTAACAATAAGATCGTTGATATTAAATGCAACGTGGTTACCGGAAACCGTACGCAGAGAGACGTACGAAGACCGTTAAAAATCATTGTTTATCGCAGGTGTTTCCTAGCAGAATGAGCTTTTTCATTATTTATAAGAGAAAGAATTTTTACTCGGACTATTAATAATTACAACGGTTTAATACGAATTCTAAAAAACTTTATATCCGGGATGTTTCGTGAAATTTGACCATTTTGTTTCCGTATTTCAATCGTGACAAAGTAGCTTGTTTTATTAATCAACTCATTGTTTCCTTGTCAGGAGCGGAGCAGTAATCGTTTGGAAGAGCTCTGCGAAGACAGGCGAACAATAAAATCGCTCGTAACTGGGGAAACAGGGTTAAAACAGGACAAACGTTTTCACTTCTTCTTTATCTTCGTGTCCGCGAAGCGTGCCGCCATTTTGCTCCTCGACGGGAGAATTTTCGAACGCGCTGCATATTTAACGCCCGCCCGGAACATTTCGTTATTCACGAACGAGTTGAACAGTCTTTCTTTCCAAGAATGGATAAAAATTCAAAATTGACATCCAACGCGTCTCGTTAAACTTGCAAGTTCACGTCTTTCTTCGTACGTAACATTCGAAAGAGAAGTTGCTTTGTACAGGTTTCTGCAGCCTTTCTTCTACCTCGCGAAGGGTACAAAAGAATCGTTTGAAACATTTAATAGGGTCTCTGGTAAACTGCGTGTCAATATTGAAGAACTACATTATATTTTCAATTAGGAATTTTTTTCTCGAAAATGGGTAGGATTTCGGGGGTACGTCTATTCACCAGAAATGATTATAATTGACCGTCGCAACCAAAAATAATTTTTTTGGAACGATTTGAAATTTTTTAATTTTGTCGAAAAATTTCGCTCTTTCTCGAATTTTTTTCTCGAAAATGGGTGGGATTTCCGGGGTATGTCTATTCACCAGAAATGATTGTAATTGACCCCCACAACCGAAAATAATTTTTTCAAAACGATTTGAAATTTTTTTTATGGTCGAAAAATTTCGAACTTTCTCGAATTTTTTTCTCGAAAATGGGTACGATTTCGGGGATATGTCTATTCACCAGAAATGATTGTATTTTAATCCCACAACTGAAAATAATTTTTTCAAAACGATTTGAAATTTTTTTTGGTCGAAAAATTTCGCACTTTCTGGAATTTTTTTCTCGAAAATGCGTAGGATTTTGGGGGCATGTCTATTCACCAAAAATGTTCGTATTGGACCCCAAAACCTAGAAATAATTTTTTTAGAACGATTTGAAATTTTTATTTTGCCGAGAAATTTGAGCACTTATTGAATTTTTTTCTTGAAACTGGTTAGGATTTCGAGGGTATGTCTATTCACCAGAAATGATTGTATTTGAACCCCACAACCGAAAATAATTTTTTCAAAACGATTTGGAAATTTCTTTTTCATCGAAAAATTTAGGCACTTATTGAATTTTTTTCTCGAAAATGGGTAGGATTTCGAGAGTATGTCTATTCACCAAAAATGATTGTAATTAACCCCCAGCACCAAAAATAATTTCTCCAGAACGATTTGAAATTTTTTTTTTTCTTCAAAAAATTTGTCCACCTTCTACTATAGTTATTCGGATAACCGGGTGCCGGATAATCCGAACACTACTGTACCAGTTTTCTAGAATACCCGATAAACCATTCCTGGGATAGATTACATTCCGTAACAAGAATTGATGATCAATTGACGTCCTCCAGCAGTCAAAGTGGCGATCCAAAAAATCGTCGAAGAGCACAATAGGAGCGTATAGTGATCGAAAGACGACCCAAAGGACCGACTCTGGTCCTCCAAAGGGACAAGACGGGGGAACCGTTTAAAATATTCAGCACTCTCGGATGCTGCACCTTGCAAGAGGATCTTAAAGAAAGATCCGCGTAACGGTCTCGAGTTTCCCAATTCCGTGAACAAGAACCCTTCGGAAGAAGCGCCGTTTAAAAGCTCCTTATCATTGAATTTCTTCTCTTAACGAGCCGCGTGCTCCACATCTGCGAAACAATGGCGGCGAGATCCAACGAATGAAACCGTGCAATTATTTCCCGATCAGAGAGTCCAATCAGAAAGAGCGCACATCCCTTGTTACTGTGGCCTCCATACAGAGGCGCTAACAGCCATCGAAGCTGATCGAGGCCTGTTGCTGCACGACTTAAGTATACCCAGGGTTATCTTATTATCTCGCAAACTTCGTGATCTGGGATTCTTGGGCAGCTCTCTTAGCTGCATCTAGGTCAGATCCTAATCGGTCGATTTTCAGAATTTGCAAGACGCGAAAAGAAATTGAGGAGACAGTCTACTGGGAGATGAAACCTTTGGAAAAATATTATTAAAAATTCCTTCCAAACTGATTCTTTGGAGGGTTAATTTTCAAGGTGGGTCAAAAGATGCGTCGCTGGAATTACCATGGTCCCTCTTGCTGCGCCACAGTCGGAAGCTAATCCGTCTGTTCAGTTACGTCAGAGTGGTCAGCGATCCTTGGGTCTCCCTCTTTCTTCCTCGAGACTCTAGTCTCGGACATGCTTTGCCTCGCGACGGACTCCTTAGTTCCCCGAAGAACTCACGCAAGCGTGCACCACGTCCCAACTACGGGAGCTCGTCCTTGTGACTAGAAAAACGACCATCGTGCAAGGTATCGATAGAAAACGTGGGCCCGTTTTAGTGCGCGATTCGAAACTCGAGTGTTTTGGGACGTTCGGGGCCTTTAAAATGGCGTCGACGACGAGTGGTGGTTTCGTAAAGTTTCTGGGAAGACGTTACTGGTCATCTACTGCTTAAACAATCATACTCAATCCCCTGCTGCAAGGTTTCTCGAATTTTTTCTGTCACAAAAGAATTTGTTTAAAAATATGTTTATAGAATAGTTGTCTAAAATCTAGCAACAAAATAACTGATTATTGATGGGTATATTTAGATGTGAATTTTATTTGGAATTAAATTTTTATTGTACCTGTAATTATATGGGTATATTTAAATATGAATTTTAGTTAGATATGAATTTTATTTAGAATTCAATTTTTATTGACCCTATAATTATATGAGAGTATATTTAGATGTGAATTTTATTAAGAATTCAATTTTTATTGATCCTGTAATTATGTAGGTATGTTTAGATGTGAATTTTATTTAAAATTAAATTTTTATTGATCCTATAATTATATGGATGTATTTAGATGTGAATTTTATTTAGAATTCAATTTTTATTGGCACTATAATTATATGAGAGTATATTTAGATGTGAATTTTATTTAGAATTCAATTTTTATTGATCCTGTAATTATGTAGGTATGTTTAGATGTGAATTTTATTTAAAATTAAATTTTTATTGATCCTATAATTATATGGGTCTATTTAGATGTGAATTTTATTTAGAATTCAATTTCTATTGACGCTGTAATTATATTGATGTATTTAGATGTGAATTTTATTTAGAATTAAATTTCTATTGACCCTATAATTAAATGAGTATATTTAGATGTGAATTTTATTTAAAATTAAATTCTGTATTGACCCTATAATTATAAGAGTATATTTAGATCTGAATTTTATTTAGAATTAAATTTCTATTAACTCTGTAATTATATGGATATATTTGAATATAAATTCTGTTTAGAATTCAATTTATATTGACTCTGTGAGGTTTGGGTTTCCAAAATGATGGATTCTTAATTACTTGGCAGGGGATTAAAAGGGATTGAATGGGTTTGTTGGACGATTGTGTAGGCAGCAGGTGCGCTCGGTACTGTCTGGGAGTGTTTAATGGAGTCTGGAAAAAAATTGTCGATGTTCAGAAGGTATTCTTTAACAAGGTGTACACCCGAAGTGGACGGACCGGATACTCGCTGCAGGCAGTGAATATTTTAATGGATTATAAACGACTGAGAAATGCAAAGGAAATTTCCTTGAGGATACAGTGTTCCGGGATACTCGGGGCGGTACTCCAGATCTTTAGAGACGTCCTTGCTTTTTAAGCGGCGTGTGCAGTAGCCGGCGAATAAGGGAATGGTAAAGCAGGTGAGAAGCGGCTGCGTGTGACGGAATTAAATGCGTGCAGAGGAATGGTGATTTATAAAATGAAAAAAAAAAACAATTAACAAAAGAAAAAAAGAGGAAAAGAATCGTAAATTTTTCTATGAAATCAAAAGAGCCACTTACAAAATGCAATTGCACTTTTTTTTTTAATCGAGCTAAATTTATTTTGTTGAAAACACAATTACCCTCGATCAAGAGACTCTCGATTTATTTGGATCCATTTTAACTGTTTATTTCAGTGAAATTCTGCTTTTTGACGAATGACAATAATAATAATAATGCGTGTAAAGATTGTTGCGTTTTATCGTTGACATCGTTTTGTCCGCCTTACGGTGCAACGATTTCAATTTTACTTGAAAAAAAACTGAAAGTTCGTCCGATGACACAGATGCTTACTGCCAGGAAGGTTTTCACCATAATTTGAAACTTTCTACTCAAGTGCACATCCTGTGGGCGGCCCGTTTAGGTTCACCGACTCGTTTGTCCGTGCAGCGAGGGTGCAACGTGCATTGACGTTAAACCACGTTCCGCCGTAACTGTAACGCTAATTCATCACGATTTATTTGATCGAACGAGTAACCGGAAGTACGATGCAATTTGGACGGCTTCGTCGATTGGCCAGACTTGAATTCTCTTTCCTGGATTTAAAGATTCATCCAATATTTATTTATTCCGGAATGTTAACTGTTTGCACAAGGAATTCAACTTTAGTGTTAGTTTAAATCTGTAAAGATTAGAATTACGTTAGACAAATGATCAGCCTTACGTGATTTATTATTAAAAAATATCAGACGTTCGAATCATTACTTTCTAAAACGTGAATAATACAACAATGGTAATTGAAATTGTTGTTACGTTGAATGTTTATAGCCTCTTTCGCAATTGTCTAATTAAAGAATAATTATTAAAGAGTAATTATATTACGACGTAAGAATAATCGAGCGAGGCACCAGCAAAACTGTAAATAACGTTTAATGTTCGTTTTACGTAACGATCTCGATCGAACGATAACAAGTGACGAAACGCTTAGAAATTTCGTTTCAATAATAGCTCGGGACTGTGTATACCAATGATATTTCTCTTTTATTTTTTAGCCTCAAAGAATTGATCTTAGATCGTAATGGGATTAAAGATCTGCCGCGCGAAGTCGGCGAGCTGAAGAACTTGAGAAACATTTCCTTGGCCGGGAATTGCCTCAACAGTCCGCCATCTTTCTTCAACATGCGTGCCTTCATGCTAACGGTACGTTGCGTTACGTTTTATAGAATTATTAAAACTATTTTGTAATTTCAAATTCGCGCTACCGGTACTGTTGCAACGAACAGTCACGGAACGAAGTTATCCGCGTTACAGAACCACCTAACGCATGAAATAATTATTCTAAACAATTAACTCGAAACGAACATCCTAGAAATCTGGTTAATCTGATTTCTAAAATATCCCGTGGAATTTTATCAAAAATTAATGATCGTTAGTTGTGAAACATTAAATTGATTGAATCTATTTAATGCAAATTATTTTATAAAAATATGCAATTATTAAACGCTACAGAAAACTGAATAATCTTATCTTCTTAATCTTGATTATTGTTAGAAGTGTATATCTTCCAGGTGGGCATTAATTGGAAGATAATTATTACTATCTATATCACTATAGAGACAAACAAAAATTTACTCAAAAGCAGAAACTTTCATTTCTTTCTAATTACTATTGTTTGTCTAATCTCAGATATTTCAATGTAATTCATTGATTCCTGGATTTTTGTCACCTGTAAAATTGTGTTTTTCAATGTATTATGACCCAGCTTTCGCCGAGTGCCAAAAAAATTAGTCTATCTTCTCATAAACGTTCCCCTCCACGGAAATCTTTAGTAAAAGGCGAAAGATTTATGCGTATTTTGAAGGGAAACTAGAGGTACCAAGCTACATTTTCGAAGGGCTATATAGCTACCTGAGAGCAAATATTACTTGTGAGTAATCGGTTATCTCGTGAGCCACCTAGTGGCCACGTGGTGCAACACTGTATGGTCAGGGCCGTACATGCGCTACTAGTCGCCACGTACACTATATTTTATATCGCTACACCCATATATGTACATATAAATTTAAAATTATAATAATTTTTGAAGTCACAAGTAAATCGCGTAATCGAAATTTTCCAATTATCTTTAACAATTTTTGTCGTTCTTTCAGGACGTTTTGTCAAAAACCGACAATGCCAGAGTGTACAAGGATGAGAAAAATAATCAGAATTATCTGTACAAAGTCAATCTGCGGAACAATCAATTGAAGGGGAACATCATTCTTGGAAATTACGGAGTAAGATCTTGATGCTCTAATAATCATATTATAGATTCTTCGAGACAACGGTTATTGATCATTTTCGTTTTTATTTCTCCTTTAATCAAGAATTTAACGCACCTAGACGTCAGTGAAAATAGCATTGAGAAATTGGACATCAGTGCTCTTCAAGAATTACGGAGCGTCCGTTGCGCGCGAAATATTTTGACAGAATTGACAGTCTGCGGGAGGAATCTCGTGTCACTTATCGCTGGAAATAACAGTAAGATTCCCCTTATTCTTTTAAAAAGAAATTAAATAATAAAGAAAATGTAAAGGATCTTAACTTCTGCAATTCAACAATTATTTACAGAATTGAAGAAATTAACTATTGAACCTGTGCCAATCACTCTGGAACATCTCGATGTCTCTTAGTGAGTAAAAATGCAATATACGATATGACAATATTTTATTCCATTGATGTGATACATTTTCTATATTTAACAACTGTATCATCGCGTGTTATTAATTCCTGAACATATACATTGATTTTAGTAACAACTTAGACGCTCTTCCAGAATGGACGCCGGACCTTCCGGTTTTGCGTGCCCTTTTTGCCTCTCACAATGCTCTAACAGCCCTTCCTGACAGGCTGTTAACACAGCCGTCGCGTCTGGAAGTTCTTCATCTGCCCCACAATAGGCTACAAGCTCTACCACCACCCAGGAAACCGCTGAACATTGTTCACTTGACGCTGCAAGACAATGCACTGACAGCATTGCCCACGAGTTTCTTCGTCAATACGGAAAAGTACCTAAACAATTTAATTTCATGCATTAATCGTCGTTTACGCAATATGTAAATTAACCATAAAAATAAACGTTGAATTAACGAGTTTCCTTTGCTCAGAATGAAGGTGCTGAATCTCTCCAACAATCGACTATCAGAACTTCCTCATCTGGGCGAAGGGAACAGAAGTCGACAGAGCAATCACAGCTTGGAAAAACTGTATCTCACTGCGAATTGTTTAACAGACACAGCGTTAGATACTCTAGCAAAACTGACGTCCCTGCGAGTTCTTCATATAGCGTATAACACTCTGGACACGCTTCCGGAAAGGTAGCAGTATCAGCTATTAACAATCAGCAAATTACAAGAGATTGAAGATAATACCTCTATTTACTTGCAGTTGCACTGCATCGTGGAGAGATTTAGAGGAATTAGTACTATCAGGGAATCGTCTTCAGTACCTGCCAGATAATGTAGCCAATCTGCGTCATTTGCGTGTTCTACGCGTCCATTCCAACCGGCTTCTAACTTGCCCCACGTTCAATAAAACGGCATCGTTGAAGGTAATGTTACATTCAGAATGAACAAAATGCATGGTAAGCTGAATGGTAAAACTCTACGTAGGTATTGGACTTAGCTCACAATCAACTGGACAGAGTGAACCTGGCTACTTTAGTGCCACCTCAGCTGCAGTTTCTGGACATATCCTGTAATTCGAGGCTCCACGTGGACCCTAGGCAGTTCCAAGTGTACAGGTCTCAGCGACCGATATCGTTGGTTGACGTGTCAGGACAAAATAGACCGAGCCTGCCCTCTCATCCTCATCAGCAAGAGATCGTTTCCGCCGAGAAGGGCGCGGAACAGCCGTGGAGATTAGGATTTTCGGAAACAGCTGGGTCCAGGGAGAGGTAATAACACTTAATCTCCACTTAGATCTATCTTTGCTCTACGTGCTATTAGATATCAATGTTTTATGCCAGTCATCCTCTAAATTGACATTGATCTTTATCACGTAAATTGCATGCTTCAATTCGACTAAGTCGTCGAGTAAGTTCTCGTGCGTCTATTTAACAGTTAAAGTGAATAATGTCACTCGAGTCTGCATGCTTCAATCCAATGTTAACAGACACTCGACTCGATATGAAAACAATTGTTGCAGATTGTACGTTTCGCAAGTTCGAATGCCATCGTTCTGCAACGTGGAAGGTCTGTTCGGTATATTCGATGGCGGCTCGAACCAGGAAGCACCGAGTGCCCTCCAGGAAATGATACCACGATTATTGTTGGAGGAGAGGACCGTCAGGGAAACGTCGAAAGAATATTTAAAGTACACGCTGCTCTCGGCCCACCGAGAGTTGAAAGAAAAAGGTCAGAAATATGGGATCGACGCTACCCTGGCGCACATCATCAGGATTCAGTCGCAACAGGGTTTCCCGAAGGCGCCCACGAGGTATTCGTTGAAGGTGGCTTCCTCCGGAGACGCAAGAGCAGTCCTTTGCAGAGCAGCTGGACCATTGACTTTAGCCCCACCTAAGAAAGTTCCTGTGAAGAATCAACTGGGCAACGCAGCCATGTTCCCTCTGGTAGTTCCCGACCCGACGTTCGAGGAAGTTGATCTGGAAGACGACGACGAGTTCGTGATAATAGCCAATCGAAGACTGTGGGAAGTGTTGAGCGTGCAGGAAGCTGTACGGGAAGCCAGAGCAGAGGCCAGTCCTGTTTTAGCCGCCAAAAGGCTTCAAGATCTGGCCCAGGCCTATGGAGCAGAGGATAATCTGAGCATCGTAGTCATTAGGCTAACGGGACCTAATCAGGGCGATTTGGATCAGCTTATGAGAGAACTGAGACACGCTGTTGGCAAAAATAGGGGTCAGACAGAAGGGGGATGTCCATGTCCTTGTTGCGTGCCACCGGCAGCTCACAAACCACCTGGGCCCTGTTGCTGTCACGCGAACGAGGGTTATTACTTGAACGGGGTGTTAAAAAGTATAGTAAACAGGTGAGGAAGTTCTCGTAATCATATATTTCTACCAGTAAGTATTTGTTAAAAATTGTTCTCAGCAAAGGGATTCGATTGTCTAGTTAAATTACGTCGGAGAGACACCTCTTGCCCATAGATGTCTAACACAGCAATTCTATTATTATCAAGTAATCTATATAAAAATTTATGATGAACGATCCAGGACAAACAAAGCTCATAACGGATCTGGCAGATACTTCAAGAATCGTCGACCGGCGCAAGAGAATGAGAGTCCACCGTACAAGGATGACAGAAGCTCGCCGAGTGGTCAGTCCGATCAAGCCAGCGACAGCACTTTTAAGTCGAGACATCCTTCCGGTAGAGTCTGGTCTGGAAGCGCCGCTTCCAGGGCCACGAACAAAGCACGCCAAAGCGTTTTCGTGAACGAAAATGGCACGAGAAAGGTAACACGAACGGGTCGTCCATCGATTTGTCTAAAGACGATCGATTGTATGGTCAGAAACGTTCATTGATATTTTAAATATTCAATGGTAGCTAATGAGTTCATTTTTGCAGGTATCGACCTGCCTCGCGGCGCAAGAAGACACCGTGTCGGAGAGGTCTGGTGCCCTCAGCGAAGAGCAATTTCGTTGCTGGGAGTACATGCTGGAGCAAAACACTCAGCTCTTGTTCGACAAGGAACTGGACACCTTAACGAGGACGCCGCTGCGCAGAGGCCAATCGAGATCCACGCCTCAATTAGGAAGCAATTTGCCTTTTCTGTCGAAGAGGTTCGGTAGCGCCAGATCCTTTAATCCTTCCCTGCCGCGGCCCCCCATCGTACGATTCGGTAGCGGAAGAAGATTACTGAACGGGGGTCCGAACGCGGCTTACTTTGGCAGCCTTCAGAGGCTGATGCCGTACAATCTCGAATACGATTTCGCGGTCATCCAAGAAAGAAACGGTTTAGACTCTTTGGAACAGGACGCGACGCGGATGCAACAGTATTGGGGGGTAGCTACGACCGAGTTGTGATCTAGAACGAAGCCCGATTTTGAAATTGTGATACGATGTCGAAAGGTATATCTTATCATTATTAACGATCGATACGAAACGTCGATAGATATATTGGGCTGTCAACAAAGATATTAGGAAACCCTTTCTTGCTTCGATGCGAGATATAGTAACGCAGAGTCTCTCAAACTGCTGTCCAAGAGCCAGCGGAAGTCCACAAATTCTCAGAAGAAAGGGAATATTTTATCCACATTATATTCATAAAAAAAATCTTAAATATTTAGAAACACTGGAAAATCGAAGAATTCTTTATTACTATTCGATAAAAAAAATTTATTATTGAGTAGTAATAAAAAGTTTCAAGAAGAACTAAGGTTTTAAAAATAGGTATTTCATTCTAATTTAGGAGGCTCGTTAAATAGGTTTGAGAAATACTACTGTAATTGATAAAACGACACTCGTGATCTTTATCCTTTTTTCAGCCATACAATTCTTTTTTCGTCGACTCGAAACTTTCACTGCTAGGAAACGAAGACAATGAAGGATATAAATAGAATAACGTTACGTAATCGGTGTGTTTCAAACCAACGTCGATACGCTTTAAAGATTTGGTAACAGACTTGATAAAAAAACTCGTTAGTTTTCAATCGTTATGTAATTATACCTTTCAACGAAAAAGTATGGAACGTTATAAGGCATCATAATATGAATGTAAATATTACGGTAAACACCCAACAACGTCGAACGAAAATAATAGAAAGGGTGTTAAGTGTAACAAGTGGGGCGTACTTACAAAAATGTTGTACATAGTAAATCATGTATTATATTCTAGAATGCACGTGACGTACATGTACAGACACGTGTTTAGTCGTGACAACTAATCGAGATAAGTTATCGTGAAGCCAAACCGTGAACTAAACGTTTGTATGATATGTGTGACTCTATTCAAGTAGCAAACAAGGCGATCTCTATTTGTACCGAGTATACGATTACGATGTATTTGAGGAATCGGATCGAAATAGTTTCGAAATAAAGTTTTCGAATATTGATTTCGTTCACGCTTATTTTAAATTTAAAATCGATCATCTGCAAAATTGTTCTCTTGTCTGTAATGACTATGAAAAAAAACCTATTTTTGTACCGAAACAAAATATAGCGACTTGCGTACCTGAAATTACTATAAACAATCACCATATTTATAATTAATATCTTGATTCGTTGACCCGAAACTGTACATTGCTTAGACCCCCTTTTTTTAATGTTTTTTTTAAACGCACGGTGATAAATTAAGAAACTCGTATTCTCAGACATCATTCATTATCTTTGTTTTTCCGCCATCTAATGCCTTAACAACGACCTTGATAAGTATTATCTTATTTGTCGAGAGAATTAAACTATCTCGTTCCTCTATCGCAACGAGCACTTTTTTATCAAACTGACACTTTAAACAAGATAAGTGTAAGGAATAGACCTTTCTTTTGCTCTTTGCCATCAATCTGTTTACATAAAGTACAAGATATGATCTTTTAACTTTCAGTTTACAGAATGTTCCCATTTAAGCGATACTTCCTGTATAGTCGGAAGCTGACCATTGAGATAAGACGTTTACCGAGTATTATAACCTCAAACAGAAAGACTAGATCATTTTACTTTTCTCGATCTCAACTAATGTATCTACGATTACAGTCATTAATTTATATTAATATAGAAACTTTCAGTCGTGCAATGACCGTTGATTATCGGTAATTTATCAATTAGAAAGGTTTCGAACATTCTGTTTTGTACGTATAATTCGTTTTCTAACATAGGAATTTAACATTATTCTTAAGATAGTAGTTTTATAGATCATTTTAAAAATATGGAAAAAGCAGGTGGACTCCCCCCTCCCCCAAGCCTTTAATCTTGAACATGGTAACTTCAGGCTCAGACTTTCCAAGATTTAGTAGATTGTGCAATCTCGAGTACTCTCTTTATCCGCGATCTAGATTGCTAACATTTGCCTTATAATTGCTAACAAGTACTCGTCCTGAAGTAATTAATTGCAAGCATGAAATTTCAAAATATCTATAATCTTACGATTACAAAGTTCCGTTTTCGAATCTTATTGTTTAATCGGGCGTTGTATGTGCATCATCAACAACCACATTATCGGAGAAGTGAAGTGGTTTATCCGCTACGTGTACGTCACATCCATTGCGTATCAGTCGCTTTTGACGCTATTCGAAATTTTAATGCACAATTTTTATAGATTATTTCCATATTTACACAACAAAACTGAAGACGTAACCGTTCCCGGGGCAGAACAGGTCATTTGTTATTAACACATCCCTGCGTATAACCTCCACTACGAAATAATGTGGTTTTTAATTCTTGGTTAGGTTTCGAGCTTCTCTATTCCTAAGACGGATCGTTTAGAGCATTGAAAAAATTGTCATGTACTAAGGAAGAACAGAAATTATCTGCGGAATTATTCTTATTTTTCGTTTTAAAGAGAAAAAGACCGTAAAAAACGAAATAATTGCTGCTGTTAATTGTACGTAACATTGCGTAAGCGAAACATCGAAACCGTTCTGCATGACCAATATATTTATATGACATCCATAGATACAATGAACTCGTGACAGGCGCCTCCTATTAAATTTTTCCATTAAACAGAACACGCCTTCGATCATAATAAGTTAACCACACGTGTTTGAACCAGAAATCACTAATCAGATAACAGACATCCCCAAATATTGAGGTTTCGTAGGTAAAAACAAGGTCGAATTGAAAGCTAGATTACAATGCACGTATGTACATACTTGAGACCAGGAATTGATATCTTCAATATGTAAATATTATGTTCAACTATTTCATTTTGGTGTTATGTCGAGTGTTTACGAAGTGTTTGCGCGCGTGTGGTACACAAATTGTGTTGACACAGGTAGACGCAAGTGTACGAGCTTGCATAAATGTGGAACGCGTCGCGGAGTCACGTGCGTAGGTAAAGCAGAAAAGGAAATTGGACGAGGAGTGGGGGGAGAGTTGTGTTGGGTTTGCATAACCTGATTGAAACTCGACGCAACCAGTCTGTAGTAGCTCACCAACGGCGAAGGTTGTGTTGTTACGTTTTGGCGACTCGTCTCTGCCGTCATTTTTCCCTCGATCGTTTTTCTCGTAATTGTGTGTCGAAATATCTGTAAGAACCTTTTTCATCGCGATGTGTGCACGCGTTACGTACTCGTCGGTGAAACACCGTGTGTTTACTTTTTATAGATAGTTCGTCTGCTATGATACCCACTAGAAGAAGAGCTTGACTCGGAACACGTGTTAAAATTCAGTGAGTAACGTAGAACGCAATATCACGATTACCAACACCGCTTACCGAGCCATTAACACGAAAGTATTTAACTTTTTATACATAATGGATCGTGTGACTTTGTAAATTTGTTTTCAAGGTGTGTTCGAATCTGCTATCTCGTGTTATGTACCATTCCAAAAGCACGTTTATTTTCTATAGAAACGACGAATCGATTTATTCTCGAGGCCGATATGTACAGGGTACGTTTATTTCGACATAAAATGAACACCAACCATATGTGCAGCCTAATAATTTATTAAGGTATAATTTTGAATGGCAATAGTGTTTTCCAATTTGAAGTATCCGTCGACTTTTTATGCTCGTTAAATTATCCGTGGTTGTTTGAAAACCGTACAGTGAAACCATATGTGAACAATGCCACCGAAATCCTTTTGAATTAAATCGAAAGTCCACGTACGATTCATTGCCAGTCGATGTTGTATTGAATTATCACAGAGTTGCGATTACGGTTGACACGCAGTGGAAACAGTTTTTTATCGGCTTGCAATGAGTTTTGCGCGTAGTGTGTTCCAAAGGACGAGATAAAAACATAATATTATTTACATCTAGAAAGGCATTGCACGAAATCATTTTTAAATTGATATCTTATTTATGGCTGGATTTCTTTATTGTTTTATTACGTTGTTTATCGTTGGGAACTGAACAACTGTTTGCACAAGGATTTTTGGCAGGCCTGTCTGTGAACACGGCGGGGAATAACAGTTCCAATAAGTGTTTTTCGAGGAAACAGGCTTCAGGTCGTGCAGTTAAACTTTACGATTCGTGGGAACCAAGGAAAAATAACGCGAGGGGAAATATTTTGAAAATTCGCGTTATCTGTTTCTATGAAACGTTAAATAACATTTCCACAATAGGTTTCCATAAATTACATAACCGAGCGTTTCCTGATGATGCGTTTAAAAATATAAACAGAGCAGAAATGTTGCTTATGGACTCTGAACTTGACCTTGACGTCTCTTCTCACAGGAAACGTTGGACCCGATAAAATGCAGCTGATTGTCGCTAAGAACTTTCCTAACTTACCATAGGAATAAACTGGTTTCTCTATATCTATAATAAATAAATACATGCTCGATTGTTTTACGTTAGAAATACAAAGGAAATTATTATTTGCATTAAAAATATTTTTAAAAATAGTATCATTTACTAAATATTCTTATCTTATAATTAATACGTAATTTTTTACGCGTTTCAGAAAACGAATATTTTTGTACATACAAGCGAGAAGTGACTAAATTACACGTGTAGTCACGTTAGGTTAACAGGTGGTTTGACTTCTAAAATATCTTTAGTGCCCGATTACCGTGAACGCACTTGGAAGCACACACGGAAATTACAATGGCTGCCTCCAAGGTTGATTAATAAAAACAGTCATGCACGGTGAAGAGAAAAATTGATCGATTTACAGCCAAGGAATTTCTAAGAAATTGAATGGAAGTAAAAAATATTGGAAATTACCGTTACACGTAACGCGTTGCAATAATTCACCTACATTGTAGCTGCTACAGTGCGTTTTGTAGCATTAAAGTAATTCTCTATAATTGCCTTAGTCACCGTGAAATAACGCGTGTCGCGCCAAGAGAGTATGTAATTTAATCACGTGCTGATATTACACAAGCACGAGTACGTATAACGCTACATATAATGAGAAAACTTTCGAAACGAGCCGACACTAATATCAAAAACAACGCGTGCTTTATTCCCTCGCTTTAAAACGTGCACGATCCATCAAATTATCCAAGGCTGTAAAAAGAATGAAAAAACAACTGGCGTTTAAGTGCACTTGAAAAAGTGCAACGCGTGACACAAACGAAATGCACGTAACCCGTAGAGAAATTAACAATTGTAATTTATTATGTTTAACAGAAGCAAAGTTTAAATTACGTATTCAAAGTAACACGTATGTAGTTAGAATTTGCTAGCAACGCAATTTTTTTTAGTCACGTCCGTGCAATTGCTAGCAAGTTTGATCGATATTAATCGATGAATTAGTGAACCGCGTATAGTGATTGTTATAAATTGCGCGACGAAACGAAAACAAAAATATTTTCGATATTTGTTGATAGATAATGCGGGGAACACGTGTAACCAATAATTTTGTTTATGAGCTGGTCGCGTGCAACAATTCTGAAACAAAGGAAATGCCAGCGTGAGCGTAGTTCCGAGTATAAGGCTACGTGTACGTATCAATAATAATAGGACAATGGAACTACAATGCTCGTGCGCCATACTCTTGTTTTCTTTATATCTTTTTTTACACCTTTGTTAAGAATGCACCGCTATGTGCATATACAAACTGAACAGATCAATAAGTAGCATAGTATGACTTTCACAGAGGTTCAATGTTACACGGTGCATTCTAAACCGAGTATTTCTTATTCTCGTTTTCTAAATATTAATTTTTAAATGCAACACGATATTAGTCTTATTTCTTTTAAACAGTACTGATACTTTCTATATAGGCAATATCACAAAAAAAAAAAATAATTAAATAATTTGTACCGAAATTTATAATAGTTATTTAATATGCATATGTGTAATTCCATATCTGACTCTTGAGTACCTCTTGTATGCACATAAGATAGCTTTCAAGTTAATGGAAAAAGCAAATCCAACAAAAAGATCTTATGTTACTTTACAGAGGTTGAGAAACACTGAACGAAGCATTGAACTGTTTCCAACTGAGATTGGCCATATGTATCCAGTCATCTAAATACAATTCTATTTAAAAATACTTATATTTAAAAGAAAGCTGCCTCCTCCGCGCCCAATACGCTAATTTGTATACATGCATTCTCAACTTACATAGTTACTTTGTTTCGCTGTTTTTTCGCGTTATTAAAAGTCGAATTGTACGAATACAATGTATCTTAGTTTCAAAAGTTAGTTTCGAAACTGAAAGAAAATTTAATTCAATATGTGTAATACAACTGGGTATTTTAAAAGACAAGTTTTTACTTTCCAAGAAACTAAAATTAACCTCTGCAACAAGGGTTACAAGTAGGACGTTCGGATTTATAAATAATCGCGTTGAAAATCGTGTAAAAAAATTTTAGAGGTTATGTAACAAGTTTGAACGAAATTATCTCTGTTACGTAAAGTAGAGGATCCAGTAAATCTTTGCACTCACCTAAATAGATTAATGATACGTGTATATCTATCGGAAGATGTCACGTGCAACAATATAACATACAACGTACATTGCATTTCTCTGTTGCTAAGCGAGGAGAACGAATATCTCTGTTCAGAACTAAACAAAAATGCTTAACGTGTTGTAATTGCCTTTCATCGTTTAGTCTAATCTTGCTTAAGAGGATGATTTAATAATTTTCATCATACGTTAATCGAATGAGGCTTAACGCGTAAAAATATGTTGTATCAGTCATAAATTCTAAATAAAAAAAATTAAATATTAATAGTGGGAGTATCACATGTCGCTGCATGCCTGTGTACATGAGTCAACATTTTTCAACCTTTTTTTTTTTAGTCTTATTTTTATTACGTGATGTAACGATGCATATCGCTCCTAACGCATTAAAAATTTTAATTTTTAATTTTATTCCCTGGAATCTTAAAATTTCTATCGATCGAAGAATTGGAAACAATATTACGTGTTGTCAATTGAAATTTCAACACAGATAATGTATACATCGAGTATGAATTATGGATGTCTAACAAGAAATGTTTAGTGCATAACCAAAAAATACTTGAAGAAATATTACGTTCTAAGTTATTTGCAGTCGGTAAATTGCAATTCCTAGTAACTGGATAATAACTAATTGTAGGCTTTTTATACGTCTTTATTCTTACTCTGTGCAACTTTCACATTTCGATGAAACAAAAACATGAAATATTTGTTTTAGCATAGAGTAGAAAATATTTCAATTGATTTGTATGCGATTGAAATGCCCGTCTATTGGGGGGCCATTTATAAAAGACGGAATATATGAGTTGTGTTATTGATTCTGTTTGAATCGAGTGGCTTCTAGATATAATTAACTGAACGTCTTGTACATAGTTACGAAAAAATACATAGCCATAATATCGACGTACAATTTTACATTAAATTGAATTTCCTCTTTTAATGCGTTGCAACTCTTACCGTAGGTCTTCCCCCCATGATTGATCCGGACATTTTTCTAACGACTGATTTCCGGTTGTCCACTATTACCCTTCTTCCCACGAAATATGTTATAAATCGTCTTTTTCTACGCATTCGTAGAAAAAGAATAAAATATCCTATAACGTAGAAGAAATACTCAATTTAATGCATACTGATATTCTTTTATAACTCTTTAATATTTGGTTATCTAGTTATTATTGTTTTAATCTACGGGGGCAATATTTTCTAATACTACTAAAATCAAAATGTACACAAAGTGCATTGCACTCAGAGAAGATGACTGATATTTCACGAACAAAGTAACTAAATTTGTTTAGAAATAATATTGAACGAACGAAAATCGTAAATTATTTTGCATTGCAACTTAACAATCTTTCTCAGAAGTTAGCGTGAAAAGATTAAAAATACGTCGATTACATAAAATTTAGTGATGAACTTAGTTGGTCGTAATAATTTATCGTACGTTTAATAAAATAGATACGGGATATTTATATAAATATCTTTATTTTGTTAACAATGCATTCTTTATTGTACCAGTCGCAGTATGGCGAACAGGAAGTAACTGCATGAAATTCCAGACTGTAGCATTTGAAAGTAAACACTTACACGTTTATGCAAAGAGGGATATTGTTAATATTTCTATACTACAATTGCTAATTTCATTAGTGACCTATGTATTAACATATAAAATTATAAGAATGATAATTTTCGTGTAGCAGTGGATTTGTATTTAGTTTGAATCAGTGATTCTACTGAGCCACCACGTCGTCACTTCCGCATTTACGGTGTTGCCAGATCGGTCACTGTTTCATACGCAAAGGAAAAAGTATTGCGGTTGTGTTGGGGTAGTAGTGTTGTGCCAGTAGGTCGTTTCATGACAGTTAAAATAGGTGTGTTGTGTTGTCAAAAGATAAATTATGAAAAATTCGATTAAAAATATGGAGCGCCTACCCTGCGCATTCGTTAAATAACACGTACTTTTGCACAAGGTGAAGACCAGACTGCCAATCAAACTTCGAAGTAAAACCCATCGATCGTTCTCAGTATAATAGGTAAACCACGTTTTCAGGAATAAACCGTTTCAGTTTGTTAAATTAATCCGTCCTAGCAAACGAAATTTGCGTTTTCGTTATTTTCGATATTTTTTCTCTTGTCTCTGCACGCCCGACATTTTGCTCGAAAGTAATTTTCAGACTTTCTTTCATTACTATTTCCTTATACGTACGACTTTTTCTTTATGACTTTACAAAAATGTCTGCTTCCTAAAAATTTTAGTGACTTCTGTATCGTCCACTGTATGTACCACGTTCGTGTGTGGTTGCACCTGTGTTTTGTTAAATATACAGTACAACATGATTACTTTAATATTTATTTATTATTTGCATGGATTGTATCATTCATGAATTCGTTATTAAACAATCTGGGAATGATACCTTTGATTGATGAAAAAATAAGTGTTCTTTGCTTGTGTGTTCATCACTGATATAGTTTTTATGTTACACATATTTTGTTATACCACATTTTATTGTGTTATACTTTATCTGCATAAAGTTTGTTAACATTTAAAACATATTTGCACTGTGCTATTAATATGAAAAAATGTTTTGTTTGATCAATAGTAAGTCATTTTTTGTTTAATGGATCATTTGCATTCAAAATGTTTTAATATTTGTATAGTTATTTCTGTGGCTTCTATTTATAGTTTGAGGTTTATAAATTATTTATCATTGAATGTTAAATAGATTTTATAATTCATATAAATTTTATTCAATATTTATATACCTATAACAAAATGCACCTATACTTTTTATGAATCACTCATTACCAATTTTACAACCCTTAAAAAAAGAAATTAATTAAATTTGTGGGTTGCATATGTAAAATAATTAATTTGATAATATTTCATACATTGCTACTATTGAATATACTTACAAACAATAACTTATTTAAAATAATTATACATTATGTAATATAATATGTAGTACACATACAATACCAAACTTACATTTAATAGATAAAGAATATAAAATTAGAAGAGTATACTAAAATTGTCTGTGTAGTAGTTATCTCAATAAATTTGATAATGCAACTATTACCTAGCATCCCTTACATCAAGTCCCTTATTACAGAAAATTATACTGATGTGAATTGAACACACCTTGAAACAGACAATTGAAAGAGAAAAACAGTGAGAAAAAGAAAATTATAGTAATATGCAGCGGATATGGTTTATAGAGAACAAAGAAGCAGAGGAATCGAAGCAGCCAGAGGCACCACGTGAGATTAACTTCATCGAGGTGGCGGCTGAACAAACATCAGACATGAGGGGATCTAAAAGGGATTGGATTTTTAGAGTTCGGGTAATTATTACTAATTTCTATTTTACCAATAGCTGTTCAAATTTTTCTACATAAAAATTTTGTTTATTTAGGTGCACAAGCTGGAGAAAAGTGAAGTTTTATACGTGGTGGGTAATTTACCTGAACTGGGTGCTTGGAATCATAACCAGGCAATTCAGTTGTCGCAAGAACATGGCAGTCGGGATTCTCCTATGTGTTTTGATAATAATAGTAGTGGGGAATATTACAGTGATGATGGACATAATGCAGGAGACATGTTTCGCGATGAAGATGAGTAAGTGTAGCTCAAATTTTTAACATACATATGACCATCATAAACTGTGTGGCCAGTTATATTCTACTGTATATTTAATTTAATGAGAGCAACGAAAAATATCTTCCACAATTGCATCCCTGCGTTTCTTTAAATTTACCGAGAAAGCTTATACTTACTTAATTATATTATAAGTTTCGATTTCATGTGTATGTTGAACTTGATCGCATCGCTAACTACTAGTACTCGACCAAACATATCATTCTTTTGAAAGATCTGAATATTTATCACAAAATATATTTAATATGTATTTATTTTTAAAAAATTTCGAACATAAAATGAATACTATTGTATGTATATCGAGATTACGAATTTCAGAAGTGGGCAAATATTTTCACAAAAAGTTGCACTCCCCATCGATACTGATGTGGTGTTTCGATACTTCGTTGCCGTTATTTGTCAATCTAACGGTACTAAAAATTCGGCCAAGACTCTCCTCATTCGTAGATGGGAGACTCATATGATACCACGTGTGATTAAGAAAAACAGTATGTAGTTAAATTAAAAAAATTTAATTATTCATAAAATGATGCTTTTATTTTACATTGTAAGGTCAAATAAACAATTTGTTACAGCACCTAGTAATTTTACTAGCGATTCATCATTGCCAGATCCAGACAAGTTTGGTTATTATAATGGGTACTGTAAGATTGAACGCGGATGGTTGACAGATGAAACTGTGATACAATTTAAGCTTTTTAATAATCCAATTAAACTATGGAAGAACCGATTACAAAATAGAAAAGTTCACATTAAAGTATGCGTCCATAATTAATGTTATTTCTTTATAAGGTGATATTTAGAAATTGAAAATTAAAAAATGTATTTGTGTTGTAGATGACACCTGTAAATCTGGTTAGACACAATTCTCTAGAATTACAGCAATTTGGAGGCGATTGTGTAGATGATAGTCTTTCTATGGATACTCAGGATGTTATTGATCAACCTGCTTTCAGTATTACGGAAATTGCTGTATGTATAATTTTATTATATTTTATGATAATCAATGTTTGCATTGAAACTCTTGTAACTATGCATTACTAAACGATATCAGGTGATGAATGATGAAGAGGAGGCTCGTTTCAAGATTCAGGAACAATTTGGCCGAGCGTATAACGAAGATGAATTTATTGTCTTCAATGTTGCAGTTCGATATCCGGAAACTATCGTAAGTATTCGCATAGAGAATCCCATGTGGAAGTCATCGTAAATACACAACTCTATGAGTTAACCATTCGTTGGTATTTATTGCTTGCATTGTTTGTATTTTTTGTAACATGTATTATGTACTTAGGATAAACCTTCGATTTTTATTCCAAAATCAACATTTTCTATCTTCTATATGGACAAATCTACAAAAGGTAACATCAAAGGCATTGTTTTCGGTAATATATTGACTAACGCTATAAAAAGAAACATGGTATCCCCCTTTCGGTTTGTCATGTTGGCGTCGATGGCAAAAGTACATCTTTATTTAATGTATATGGCACGTAAATGAATAAATAATTGATTTAAAAAAGTATAGGCTTGGCAGAGCAATAAATTACGAACCAGTGGTAATTCATGAGAGAATTAGACACACTAAAAATACGCATTGACCATACCATGTGAGTTTTCAGTAGACCACCAGTAGGCTGGCCACGTCTTCTCTCGCGACTTGTTCAAATTACTTGGTAAAAGATAATTAAACTTGTTCAGCAGCTATTGCCCTCCTTGGATACCAGAAGCGATGTCACGTGTACTGGCCTGGAACGAGAAGACAACCGTCAGCTTTGTACAAAGCAAGACCTCTGGTGCAAATGACGATGCTAACATGCAATCCGATGTATCGATGCTAAGCATCGACTACCACTTTACATCTGTGTCACATGACATCACACAGAGATATGATGGTTTTGATTGTCGTTCACCCTACCGTGCCTATCCTTCGGCTAGTTTCTCGTAAATCAGTAAATTTCTACGAAGTACATTGTTCACTAAGGAAAGAAATTTTTCTAAGTAACGAGATCACGATCGAGATTATTGGATTTAATCAGAGCATAATTTGTTACGCAGACCCACGCGATTTATTTGTAACACGATGTTGGTTTACGTGAGTCACAGCCGTCCTAAGCAACCCTAAGAATTTAGAGATATCAACGCTGTCACACCTCATATCCATCTGTGTGCGTCGAAAATGGTGAGGCTCCCATCACTCCTATATCCTTTTAGTGTACTGCTAATATTTTCTAGCTTTGACCAACTCTACTGTACCGTACGTGGCATCGCTGCGCGACCATTGCCAGACTAAGCCGTCAGAATCTTCTGAATCTGAATTACAAACTTTGCAGACTTGATATTGAAATTTAATAATGAATGATCGGCAGGTGTTGCGGGATACGCGTCCCCCGGGCAGAGTACAGCATTTGGCCATTATTGGTCTGGTTCATTGCTAGATTATGTAGGAAGTAAATTATTCGTCCATTGTTTTCTCACCCACTAGTAATTTGTTGCTCTTGCCTGCAATTATTCAAAACTGCCAAACAAAATTTATACAAAGTACAATAAAAGATTTACAAATGTCTCGAACAACATAATTTAATTCCTACGCTTTTTAGTGATCAAGGATCGTAAATAATGTGCCATAAATTCTGACACATTAGAATTTCTAATTTCATTGTTCCTCAGTACAGAAAAATTTCGAAAAAGTTTCTTCAAACTGTATGACCTTGATCATTGGATTTAATTAATGTTGATGCAAGCTCTATAACGGATGAGCAAAAAATACTGATGCAAGCATTTGGTGTTGTCGTAAATAGTTGTATTTTTCCATATATATTAAGCAGACTGTTTTTTCAGGCATATTTAGTGGACTACTACGTGTACAGCTCAAGATGTTTCCCAGGAGAACCACCCAACCATATCGGTTTCAGCTACATCTTGCCTAGTACATTGCAATCTAGCGTTGGGCTCTTGACAGTACCAATTACAAGCACGAAACATAGACCAATTGGTAGGGTATTAATTTCTGTTTATATTTATTATTAAATGCGATTCTTCTCGCGTTATTATAAATAATTTTTTTTTTCGCGATAGGACAACTTACAGTGGAATATGTTGTGATAAAACCAATTCCGGATTATCCGTGGGATATGAATATTTCATATGCAAAACATTGGGAACAACGGTGGTCTGGTTTAGATGTGGGGCACAGGGGGCTAGGCACATCTTTTCAAACAAAAAAGTAAGCGAATGCACTCTGGTCTATAGGAAAATTAAATTCCATTTTTAATAGTTTTTTTTATATAAAAGTCGTGTATTGTTTTGTTTGCAGTTGCGCAAATGTACGTGAAAATACAATAGCTTCTCTAAAGACTGCGTCACATCATGGCGCTGACATGGTTGAGTTTGATGTGCAGTTGTCCAAAGACCACGTACCTGTTATTTATCACGATTTCTTTGTATCCATTTCACTAAAACGCAAGAAACAAATAGAAGCTATGGACATGCTGGAAATACCTGTTAAGGACCTTACATTAGAGCAGCTACATTTATTAAAGGTATATTCTATACATATATTTATTCTACTCTTCTGTGAATTATATATTACAAAATGGTTTATATAATCAAAATTATATTATTTTCATCGACATCGTACTCATACTTTCATATTCAACTTTACAAGCTTTAATATATTCAAAAAGAACTTTACAAATTTTATTTTATATTTTATTGTAAAATAGAAAATAGAAACTATTAAACCTTATTTCTGAATATATAAATCTCCGTCACTGGCACGATTAATATGATCCATCTAATAATACAATCTCCTTCATCCAACATTAACAAATCGAATGTGGCTTTTTAGAATGCGGCAGTCTATGTTACGCGTATTAATGTTTCGCTTTTTATGTCCTTTTTTTGTATCGAAGGAGAAATCGATCATTTCAGGGATTGTGTCGTATGTAGCTACATAGACATATAATCATGAACTTATAGGTGTGATTATACATACCTATTCGTATTTATTTAATATTCAACAGGATTTTTATTACCCGGGAGACTCGTTGGGTAAGGTGCTGTATTTCGTTGATAAAGCTGAACAGGGGGTTAACCAACTGGTGAGCTTTCATATCGCTTGCACCGCCTAACTCGTCGCCAAAATGTATAACCAATTGTCATTTGTACACGTTGATGCATGCTCGTTCAAAAATTGAATCTAAAACCAACTAAAGTTGATTTTTCAGATCACATCATCGTGCTATTATACGTGGCTATCAAAATCATACAATTAGTCTGCAATATATACATTTTGTTTCGATTAAAAGCTAAAAGGTTAACCCTGGTATTGTATATAATAAAAATAATTCGATCGATAATATTTTGTTAATGTAATGTCGTTAAATCACATTTGCAAAACTGTTGGGGAAATTGTAAGGATTACTTTTAATATATTCACACGACTACAAAGTATTTGCTTTGTCGTCCAGCTTTAAAAAGTATCCCAAACATCATATGAACTGTACCAATTTTTTAATCTAACAGAACTATGCTGAACGACTCTTCTCCTTTGTATATATTGTAAATAAAAGTTTCTTTTCTTTTACAGGTTTATCATGTGGCCGAAGGCCGAGAAAAGAATCCAAGATTTTTTGACGAAGATCTAGAAGATCATCAGCCTTTCCCCACACTTCAAACCGTACTACAAGAGTTGGAGCAACATGTTGGCTGTAATATAGAAATTAAGTGGACTATGCAGCTGAAGGTAAAAACTATAAATCTAATTCTGTTCGTTCTGTCGTTATTTACTTACGAGTTGTGTAATATGTATACGCAGGATGGCACGTTCGAGTTGAACCATCCTTTCGATCTCAACCTGTATTTGGATACTATACTGAAAGTCGTACTGGAATATGGGGGGAATAGAAAGATTGTTTTCTCGTCCTTTAACCCAGATATTTGTGCCATGATTCGTCTTAAACAGAACAAATACCCGGTAGTATTTCTGACACAAGGCGTGACTTCAAAGTACCCCACTTACCACGATCCGAGATGTCAAACGATACCGATGGCTGTTAGGCACGCTATAGCTGCCGATATCTTAGGAATTAACGTCCACACAGAAGATATTCTTAGGGATCCGTCGCAAGTTAATTTTGTAAAGGAAGCCGGATTAATTATTTTCTGCTGGGGGGATGACAATAATGACAAAGCCACCATCCAGCATTTAAAGAAACTTGGATTACACGCAGTTATTTATGACAAGTTAGTAATTTTTTGACAGAGAATTTTTTATTGTAATTAAAAATATGCTACGATGATTTAATACTATTCGCAGAATCGATGAGTATAACGCAAAAGAAGTCAAAGAGAGCATATTCCTGATCGATGCTAGGGAAAGCCAAAAGGCGCTGATTGCTTTGGCGCAGTGCAATCAAACTGGTCAGCCGCAACAAACTTGCCCTCTCAATTCAGAAACGGTAAATATGTGCATGAGCTACGGCACGCGTGGAACCAACATTGTGAACGATTTCTTATTTCAGGATTATTACATGGACGTCAACAAATCGCGAAACATGATTACAACTACATCAACTGCGACCTCCCACTCGACATTTGGTAAGAATACTATTGATGGCGATAATACATCATATCCCATGACAACTGTTAAATTACCAAGTACATGTGACCATCAGGAGAGCAAAGAGATCAGTGAAATGGCGAAAGATTTTAGCGATTGCGCAAAGTCCTTCGGCTACTCGGTAAAAGCTAAAAGCATCTCAGACTTAGTTTGCGGACAAACGACGGCGCTGCCCGAGTTTTATGGAGAGGACGAGTCTGCGAAAGATTGTCTTTGATGTTTCTCTTTTAAGAAGCCGTTTATGTCTTGGTTTTGATACGGAAGGCATTATTTAGAGGAGGACCTATCACGAGAAAAGGGAGAGACCTGAAGGAAACGTTTTGTAACTCATAATTTACTATAATACTTTACGTCAAAGGGATTAAACGATTAAGGTTCCCCGCAAGTCCTAAGATCCAGAAAATCCGGATCGTCTTAATGGCCATTACGCAAAATTTATACGCAGAATAGTGCATAAAAAGACGACCGCTTGTTGTACATTTCGAAATCATTTTATCATTCCTGCGATCGGTCGACTTAATTGTCCATTTGATATGTTACATCCTATTTTGACTGTAGAAAAAAAAAAAAATTGTTAACTCCTTTTATTTTGTTCGTGGTAGGGGTGAATACCCGAGTTGCAAGTTTTTAGTACAAATATCTCCAATATTTTCACTTAGTTCGTAAAAAAATATCACCTTTCATATTTTTTTTTCCTTTATCGATTGAAAATTTAACTTAAACTAGATGACAGTTAAGCGACATTAAAAAAACTATATGACGTTATGAGTATGTACTTTTTCTATAGGTTATCGGAAAAGAAACAAAAGAGAACATGATTGCTTCTGACAGCTTGAAATTAAAGAGCTGCAGATTATTTTTGTGTATGTAAGACATGTCACGTTCATTTATTTATGTTTAAAAATATTTGTAATATAACATCTTAGAAATAGAAAAGATTAACCGAAAGATCTTTGTTAAAAGTATCTTTATCTGCGAATGTAAACTCGGTATGATTATAAACAGAAAAGAAGATTATTTTTCGTCCATATTACGTAGTATGATGTTTGTTACGATTAACTTAATTATATGCATATAGTGATCATTTTAGAAAATTCAAAATAACTTTCTTTTTATTACGAAACAAGTACAATCTTAAACATTTGAAATTCATACATTCGCTTTATAGGTACAACTTTTCTGTCCTGGACTCCGATGTCCGATTAATCTTGTAATAACTGCATCAGTGACAAAACAAGTAGCACGCAATTATCTTTTCAAAGTTTTTACCAGAGAAGATAATTTATACCACTTTACCGCATTGGTAGGACGCTATACGATTAAAGAAGAGAGCGATTGTATCAATCGTTAAGATTCTGGCAACATACAGAATATCTGTTGATGGTTTAAAAAAGTATTCCACAAATATGTTATGGGATCCACATATGATTTAATTGCACATATTACCGTGCGTAAAGCGTGGTGGTTGCTGATTCTTTCTATTGTCATAGAGGCTATGCATTGTAATAAACCAGTTAACGGATATTAATCGGTTTGATAAGTTTATAATTAATACATTGGTAGAATTTTGCAAATTCCGACACATAGGTTAATGCGTTACAGTCTTCGAGTGTACACTGATAAACTTGATATATATTTCAGATTTCTAATTACGTGTATGTTTTTATCTCTCCCTGTTAATGATAAAGTGAATACGGAAGAAGTGATTATAAATACAATAATCAAACGATTTTGTAAAAATTCTACAAATATCCAGAAACGTAAATAAGATATTATATTTTTGCATTTGCAAATTTGAACCTTCTAACTTGATTACTAAGAGTACCTGACTTAAAAGTAGTTATCGAATCTAATATATAGTGAACGCATTATGGGTAATTTATTTCTCACTGCAGCAAGAATTTACCAAAAGTCGAATAATTAAATGAATTACAAATAAATTTTAATACAATGAATGCAGAAATCAGAGCGCCATACCGGTCTTTCTATTCGTTTTTATTCACAAGTGCATATAATAAATTATTAATGATTTTATGAGAGACGAATTAATATTAATGAAGTACTTCTTGTTTTCTGTTTTGCTAATTTACATTTTAAAAATTGATCGAATCATTCATTGAAATCACCTTAGTTATTTAAACAGTATTTGTAATTTCTAAGTAACTTATTCTAGAAAAAAAAAAAAATAAAAAGATGTAAATGCTATTACTGTTGTAACGATATTTATTTTCGAAATAAAAGTTAATAGATAAACTATTAATATTTATAAAGGATATTCTCGAAGGAAGTAAATTTTTCAAGGACGTAATTTTGCAATTACATTTTTAATAAACTTATCACGAAATGAATTATAAAAAGAAATCAATACTTCTATTCCATGTGTACTTAAACAGCTCACCATGTACATACTTCGTCATTTTCCCATAAATTTCAAATACAACCCAATCCTTTCTACCCAAACTGCAAAAATATTAATAAATGAAAAATCCAACGTTCGTTCAATGAAACAAGTATCCATTTTTAATTTAGTGAAACGATTAACGGGATATTTCAAATTTGTGTATTTTGCGTTTTAAAAGTAGAAACTAAAATACAATTTTTCATTGTTTGAGTAAAGTTACATATACAATATTATAAATATTTTACTTATATTCGTTTTGTCGTTCGTCGTTTAAAATAGTATTTCAAGTTTTATCCAAGTTTATATGCGATTGTTTAAAGTAAATTTTACGTTCCACGGCAGTGCAGATAAAATGAAATTTTCAAATACAGTTTCAAACGTTTGTCGTAAATAGGATATTTTATTCAAGCTCTAAAGAGTCTAGCTTGAAGGTGGATTAACTTATTTATTATTTGCTACTTGAAAGGCATGTTTTATTCACCTGTGTGTGACGTTTCTTTAATCGAAGTGTCCCTGGAAACTTTCGAATATCGAGACCGCGTTCGAAACGAGGGGAACTTAATGGCGGTCGAAGAACCCCCACCCTGACCTCATATACAGGGTAGTCAAGGTGTCAACAGGCGAGGCCGAACAGAGTTTACGCGATAATTCTCGTCTGTTCGTATTAGCACGTTTATTTTGCCGCTGTTCGCGTTATAGTAGAACATTTGAATTTCGTTATTAGCGATACATTATTTGAGAACAATTGGCGTTTGGAGAATGCGACTACTCGAAGCGTAGCACGGTGCAGATTTCTCTGACGTGTATGTGTGTATACGTACATAATGTTTTGATTCAATCGCAGCTGAGATTTTCTCGCGTTTATTCCTTTAAAGAATGTTCCCCGACTTTGTTTCGCCGGCAACAGTGGTAACCAGCTTTTAATTTTTTCTTCGTCGAACGCCATAGGTTTCGTAGTGCAATACACGTGAGCCGACATTTACTATATTATACTCTTTTTTTTTTTTTCAATAAGTGTAGAAAGTTATAGTCATAAACGTTACGCTAACGCTCGATGCACGCATTATTATTGTATAGCATGAATCTGACACCACGTACATTGAACATTATCATAATGATATGACGTTGTTTCCATGGTACCAAATTAATAAATATTTTTTATAAACAAAGACGTCATACAAATTTCATTGCACGCTACTTGCAACAATCATAACCATTAGTATTCAATTCTACATACATTGTGGTCATAAGCAAAAGTGTTCTATCGTATTTTTTTTTATTTTAATTGTGCTGTTTACTGGGGAGGCAATACAAGGTTTATCATAGTTCTTGCATATGTTGTTCTTATCGCTAGAAATTTTAATTCATTGTGTGATGAGAAAATTAAATTTCCTGTGATATCTCTATTAGTAAGTAAATTATTCTTTTATGGAATAAATCCTCAATTAATATAAAGCATGTATTTTTAGATATGACTCTTTATATGAGTTCCTCACAACATAATTGCTCAAAATATATTCCAATGAACGTGGATGATGAGCTTTATTTTACCAAGCAACATTGAGGCGAAGATATTGTAATGGGGTGGGTCTCATCCACCGCAGTATGGATTACTATATGGAGTTGCCTATTGCGGGGCTTCGAACTAGCTCCGCAAACATCTCCAAAACAAATTCCATGTGATAAAACAAGGAAAGTTTTTACCGATTCTTGGGGAATCATTAGCGATGGACCGTTAGGCTCAAATTATACTCAAGATTCTCATTGTGAATGGCTTATAAAAGGTGAATATGATCTCCAATATTCATAATAATTTTGTTTTTAATTCAATCTATATTCAATGTATTTTTAACATTTTGCAGCAAACAATAGTCGCCAATTTATTACTTTAAGTTTCCGTACAATGGGAACAGAATGTAGCTATGATTATGTATTTGTTTATGATGGAGACTCCTTTCGATCTCCACTCTTAGGTAGTTTCAGTGGAAAAACAGAACCACAGCAAGTGACATCATCATCTGGTTATGTAAGATCCTTTAAAAATGAAGGATATGATACTTGTACAGTCACCAGAACGTGCAATAATAAATTTCTTCTTTTACAGATGTTAATATTATTGTATAGTGATACAAACTACGTTTTGGATGGTTTCCATGCAGAATTTTCAGTCACAAATTGTCCAAATAATTGTACAAATCATGGAAAATGTATCAATAATACCTGTTTTTGTGAAAATGACTGGGGTGGGAGAGATTGTTCTAGAGCTCTTTGTCCAAACAATTGCAGCAATGGGGGAGAATGTGGTTTAAAACGATGTCAGTGCCGTAACGGATACTCGGGACAATCTTGCTCGTTGCATAAAACTCATCCAAAAGGCAACAAGTATGTTATAAACTATATCATTCCATTAAATATAGTTATTAAATATGAAAATAGTCTGTACAAGTATTGTACGGCAAACAGGTGGTACTGGCTTTCTCACTCAGAAGGTGGTCTAAGGCCGCGAGCAGCTCATACGGCAGTGTATATAAAAGAAACTGATTCCCTTTACGTTTTTGGCGGCTATGATCTCAATTACATACTCAGCGATTTGGAAGTCTATCAATTTAGTACAAGTCAATGGGAAGATGCGTATGGTAATGTATTAGGTAAGCACCCGATATTTGTTATTATAATTATATGAATTACCAGCATGTTATATAATCTCTTACACGTGACATATCCTTTTATAACAGAAGGCACCTCGTCCGCAGAATATTTAGATCCTATGCTCATCGCGACTGAATTAGACCGGATCGGTGCAGGCACAAAAGAATTGTACGGTCTTCGCAGATCGTCGCTCATTTGGAGAGTACTCTACAGTATTAAAAACAATAATACTTTTAGTTTGCGTAATCATGGTCATGTAGAAAACGGGCAACACGGTTGGTCGGAATTTAGGAATACAGCAGAACACAAAGAACACGAACAAAAAGTTCAAGAAGCAAGGAAAGGCGAAACAAGCAAAAGTACAATTAGGATAGAAAGAAACGATGATCTTAGGAGAAAGCATTCCAGACATCCAAAGCCCAGATACGCACAAACTACAAGGTAAAAATAAAGCACGTTTTACATTTATTGAATATTAATTTGATGTTACTTTATTTGCTATTTATCGTGTTAGACATCGCAGAAATCTCGGGAACTTGGATCTTTATCGCGACCTTCATACTTCGAATGCAAAGAGTGACATATTGAATTGGGAGGAACAGAGCGTCGAAGATCCCATCGGAGACAATATCTTTATAGAAGAGCCTAAGTTAACAACAGATGAATCATTCAATGATGAGCCTACAAAACTACCGATCGACGAATTACCTAAGCCGAGTCCACGTTATGGTCATGCTGCTTGCAGATACGATGGTCAGTTGCGCGTCTAATTGTTAATAAATAATACAACGACACGATTTGCAATTTCGTTTTAATTACAGGTGGTTTTGTTATATATGGTGGTAAAGTACAAGATGGTTCTTTGTCAAACGAACTGTGGCACTACAATGTTAATACGAGCATTTGGACATTACGGGCTAAAAATTCCCCATTCTATCCGCCGCAATTAACAAGACATACTCTTACTTTAGCAAATGATTATATCTATCTTTTCGGCGGTAGCACAGTCGATGGTGAATTTTCGTCAAGCCTCTATAAAATTAAATTGAATTTATGTAAGTTTACCTTTGTATATGTTAAGTCATATTATTTTATTTTAGGTAGAAAATATCTTATATTAAATTTATTTTCATTTCAGCTGATGACACCGCAACCACAGAAAGATGGAAGGAAGTACATCCTCGAGGGGGTAAAGAGTTAGACGTACGCGTAGTTGCACATTCAACTGTATACCATCGTGCTACTAATTCTTTATTAGTTTATGGGGGAGTAGTAGCTAGCGTAGCACGCTTTAGTAAATTATCAGATAGAATGTTTGTGTTTCAACTTGACAGAAAAGTTTGGTCCGAAATTCACTATCCGAGAGCACACCTAAGAGACACTTACGTTCCAAGAGAACGGGCATTTCATACTTGTAATATTATAGGTAATTAGATGTCGTTTTCGTACGTAGTATCCCAACTGCAGTAGTGACCACTTAAGTATCCATGATTTCGGGTGCCAGCTATTATATCTCACTCGCATTTATCCTCTTTCCTTATCTCCGTTGAATTCTGAGAAGCATGCCCACTTAAACGAACGCGGACACTTAAGTGGGCACTACTGTAAACACATGTGACATATTTCAACCTCAGAACTAGTAAAATAAATTACCATAAAACATGACTGATACAGAATTATTTTATGATTATTAATTTTGCAGGGAATTATTTAGTCGTATTTGGTGGTTATTCTCACAGACACAATAAAGAGGAAATTTGCTATGATAATCAGATGTATCTTTATCATCTGGGCTGCCATGCCTGGGTAAGTCACGATGTATTAGGCTTGAATGATAAAGGTAAGCTAAAACATTAACGTTTAAAATAAGGATCACGTAAAACATCAATTGTTCATGTTTGAAAACGTTTATTGTCATGTTTAGATTCTCGTTATCCGAAACAACAAGGAGTATTCGCGCACGCAGCAGACGTACGTAATGGAAACACTTTGTTGTTAGTTGGTGGTTATCATGGAAATGTAAATGCAGATTTACTTGCATATACATTGCCACCGATGCTAGCACCGGGCGACGAAGATTACATAGAACCCGAACAGATCTGTTCAAGACACAAAAGCCTAATGGAGTGTGCCGCTAATCCAGAATGTGGTTGGTGCTCAGCAGATGAGGTATCCTAATACACAAAGTTTACTCAGTTTTCCTCAAAACATAATTACTTTTTAACACTTTGAATTTACTACAGATATGTTATGGTAGAACTATCGGTAGCAATTGTACGACCAATCTTCAAACAACTCGCTGCCCAGGCGTGTGCCCTGCACTTGGAGATTGTCATTCTTGTTTAATACACGGCCAACCAGGTGGAGGTTGGGGTACAACTGCCCACGGGAAAAAGTCCGTTTCGAACAAATTAAACCTTGGCACTTGCACTTGGTGCGTTCAGAATGCTCGTTGTCATCACAAAGATGATAATTATGGAGTCTGCGGTCTCCGAGACGATACACCGTTACAAATACCGGGGTGGTGGGGCCCGAAAGGCACGGAAATAATAAAAGTCGAGGAATGTCGAGAAATGGACAAAAGGCCGGGACTGACATTTTTAAAGTATAAACCTCCGGTAAATTTTAGTCAACCAGACTCGGTAACAATAGTTAACGCCACTACAGTCGATTTTAATGTTCCGTCTATGCAAGGAGCAAAAACAGAATCTGCCCTTGGCGGTGAAATGATTGCTAGATTAATCGGATTCCTTAGACCACCACAGTACTTTTGGGACAGCGCGGTGGAGCACTTGAAGATCTGCGTTAGTTACAATAGCGCAACTCTTCATGTATCGCGAAGCGACGACCCTCAGGAATTGGTAAATTGCTCATTCTTTTATTAATTTGGCAGTTCAAATAAGCCTATAACATCTATCATCTTTTTGTAGGAATTAGTCGCTAATTTAACGGCTGAGACGTCACAGTGCATTCCGACAAAATGGCCAAACGGGCATCAAATGATGCTGTTGCCAGGTCGATATTTATTAGACTTCGAGTCGAAAAGGATGGTGACTACAAGCTACGCGTACGCCAGTAAAATGGAGATTACTCATAATAAGAAGACCGAGAATCCAAAGGTGTTCACTTTCGAGTATCTCGAGCCATATCAAAATGGATCATGTCATCAGTATAAAAATTGCCTTCACTGTTTAACCGATTCCTCGTGTGGCTGGTGCGATATTATCAACAAGTGTCTCTCGCGTTCGATCAATGAAACGGAACATTGCGTAGCTGACGTGGAATGGGACGAGGACGGGAGTCCGATTAGCGAATGGCACTATTTAACCATCACACCTTCAGCCTGTGCTAATTGTTCAAATTACATCTCCTGCGAATCTTGCGTGGGTAGCAACTTGTGCGAGTGGTGGACGGAGGAAGCTCGTTGCGCGAGAATAGGCAGACTACCTAACGCTGTCGTCAACCTCGATCATTGCCCGATTCCGTGTAGACAGCGCTCAAACTGCACACAATGCTTAGACGAGCGTGGAAGGTGCGTGTGGTGCGAAGCCACGCAAGAGTGCTTCTCTTTCTCGGTGTACACGTCTGAGTATCAGTTTGGTTTATGCCGGGAATGGATGGATCAAGCCGGTCTAATGGGAGTAACGTCCAGATCTGGATCGTCTCTGACGGGTAACGATCAATGCAAAAGCTGCAGCCGGCACACAAACTGTTCCAGCTGTCTGCATTCGCTGAGCTGCGGCTGGTGTTACAGCCTGGAGAACCCTATTTTAGGAGCATGCGTGCAGGGAGATTTCAATCAACCGCACGTCAATTGCAGCTTGGTCGTTAACGAGTATCAGAACAGCACCTTGGAGGCTGACGAATCCAGTTGGGCGTACGCTCAGTGCCCGGACGTCGACGAGTGCGACTTGGGTCTACACGATTGCCATCAGAACGCGTTGTGCACAAATACTCACGGTAGCTTTAGCTGCCAGTGCAAAAGAGGCTTCAACGGCGACGGTAAAGAGAATTGTACCAAAACTTGCTACGAGAAATGCATCAACGGTTACTGCAGCGAGGCGCCCGATTACAAATGCGAGTGCTACCTTGGCTGGACTGGGCCGGATTGCAGAACGAATTGCGGCTGTTACAATCATTCCACTTGCGTGCTGGGGCCGGGTGTCTGCGACGAGTGTCAGGACTGGACGACAGGCGTGTATTGCGAGGAATGCAAAGCTGGTAGTTACGGTAACGCCACAACGTCGCTAGGATGCAAGAAGTGCAACTGCAACGAACACGGGAACAAAGAGTTGGGCATCTGCGACCGACAGACCGGTGCATGCTTTTGTCGCGACAACACGCAGGACGACATGTGTCAACGCTGCAAGAAGGGCTATTACGGGGATCCAAGAGACGGTGGAATGTGTTATTATGGTTGCATGTCGCGAGGTATGCTAGGGGGCGAAGGAGCTGGCAAGCAAGGCCTCGGTAGCAGACACTCGCAATTGTCACTCTGGGAAAGTCATTTCGGGGAGTCACCGACGAGGGAGTGTCTCTGGATAGTCAGCCCAAAGACGGATCTTTCGTCGGATAACATGCTCTCTGAGACGCAAAGCGTAATTCAGTTTACTATACACGACGATATTAACGTTAGCTGCCAAGAGAACAGCGTTTACGTGTACGACGGACTCCCCGAATTTGTCTCGTCGTCTACTAGTCATCAGAGTCAGCTGTTGGGCGTTTATTGTACAGAAAGCACCGACTATCCTGTAACGGTGGAAGCCAAGTCTGGATTCCTCACCGTTCACTATAAGCAACTGGACGAGGTGGAGGGATTCAATGCAAGTTACATAATAATGACATGTAACAGTTGTCCTGGGAATCGCGAATGTCGAAGCGGGAATTGCTTGTGCAAAGCCGGTTTCGTGGGTATCAATTGCGATATTGAATTATGCCCCAATAACTGCACCTCGTCCAGAAAGCAAGGAATCTGTGATAAGGGCTATGGTCGCTGCGTTTGTACCCCTGGATACGGCGGTCACGATTGTTCGATTGTGATCAAAGAGCATCAATTGATCTTTACCGAACTGTTCAATTCCGAATACTTGGCGGATCACTTGGATCATCTGCGAAAAACCCTACCGCGATTCGGTCACACTTTGGTGGCCGATAGAAGGGGTAGTCTGTGGATGTTCGGGGGTTATTCTCTCAGCCATGGTCCTCTGAACGATATCAGACTTTTTGATACTAAAAACAACACATGGATGCCCATCACCGTGGAATCCACTTCGGAGGCCTCTATGCCTCAAGGCAGATATTTCCATGCGACCGAAATAGTTCACAGCAGGCAACAAATATACGTTTACGGTGGTCTGTCGATGAAAGAGGAGAACATTCAAGGATTATCAAACAATACACTCAGCGATTTCTGGAAATTTAGTCTACAGAATCAAAGATGGATGCAGATCATGCAAAACGAGTTGGGAAGGGAACCACCGCCGTTGGCCGGCCATACGTTGACTTTACGCAGAAACGGTGAATCTGAGAGCCTGATACTGATCGGGGGATTTAGCCCCAAGTATGGATACCTTGATATAGTATGGGAATTTAATTTGGAAACGGAAACTTGGAGTACGATAAACACAATTGGAAACGGACCGTTAGGAGTTTATGGTCATTCCACTGTGTATCATAGCAAATCGGATAGTTTTTATATTTTTGGTGGATACACTTACGCGATAAATCGGACTTTCATCTCGAACAAATTGTACGCGTTGAACTATAAAACTCGCACTTGGTCCGTACTTCCACCGTTCGACGATGATCTTACCGATGGAAACAGCTTGGTGAGCAGATATTTATTTATTCATTAGCGTTCCAAAGTTGTGAAGGATGATTGTAATAGTGCTGTTTTATTGTAGCCTCAAGCTAGGTTCCTTCATTCCGCTGTTACGACTGATGAATACATGGTCATATTCGGTGGTCGCCAAAATCCCCATAACACTTCTGATTCACTGATTGCTTACAAATATTCGTGTAATTTATGGATCCGTTTGATAACAAAAGATATGGAAGTTATTGGGAGTCCACCGCCGCCAGCATATGCTCATGCAATGACTCACGCTGATCCAGAATCCAACGCTGTGTATGTGGTCGGTGGTTTTGATGGGGGAATTAAAAGTCACGTTACTCTCATTAATATACCTGAAGATTTATGTAATCTCTGGACGGACAAAATAACTTGCAGAAAATACTTTGGATGCTCTTTTTGTTCTGTTACTACCATCAGTGGGAATAATGCTTCCTTTTGTTTCTCTAATGAAGTGTCCGTTAATAAGGATGATAGGTAAACCTGTGCATTTAATTAAATATAGGCCACTCAAATAACTCGCTTACACTTAGTTTCGTTTCAGATGCGATATCAATGTCACTCAAGCTCAACGATCAAACGGAATCTTCTGCGATTCGAAATGGATGGCGAGCAGAAAATGTCAGAATTTTAAAACTTGCACCGAATGCTTGGCAGAGTGGCCATACTACATAAACGAGGATCCAGTGTGCAAATGGTGCACAAATTGTCAAAATGGAACGTGCATACCGTCCGAGAAGGATTGCGACGAGTTAAACAAGTGCAGTATCAGGCAAATATCGGTGACGGACGTGAATCAATGCGGCGAACGTCAGTGCCCAGCGAGTGACTGTGAGAAATGCAACAGGCTCGATGAAGGTTGTGTTTGGACAAGGCAAGTCTCGAAGACTTGTAAGTATTAAAAGCTGATTAGATCGCGACAGCGTTTATTATTAATTCTTAACGCGTTTTGCGAATGTTGTTAGCCGAAGTGGGAGTCGCGGTAACAGGCGAACCTGTGTATGATTGGAACTGCGTACCGGATGATACCTTCGAGAGATCCAGTATTAAAATTGGAAGCACGCAATGCGAGAAACGGTGTGCAGATCATAAGGACTGTAAAAGTTGTTTGAAGGGCACGGGCGCTGAGGGTGGATGGCGGGAATGCAGATGGTCAACACAACTTAACGAAGCAAGTTCATTAGAATAAAAAAATAAACTAAAATAATTGAAACGTTATGCTACACGTTCGTTCATTTTTAGTGTATCTCTCCGTCGTATCAGCCTCTTTACTGCGCTGGTGGTGTGTGTGGTTTGGTACTACGCAGCCCTGATATGGATCATTGTCCCGAACCATGTTCCGTTTTCAAGCAATGCAGCACATGCTTGAAGCATTCACACTGTGGATGGTGTTCTTTAAATTCGACTAACACAACTGGTCAAGGGATATGCACCGAGGGCTCGTTGGAGGCTCCTGCAGATCATCCAGCTGGTGGAACGTGTGAAATGCTATATTATCAACAGTTTCCTCAGACGGAACCGCGTGAGTAATAACTTGCATACTGACGACATTATTTAAATATGCGTTGCGTTAATTTTATGCATCTTGCGTTAGATTTAGTTAACAACGTTCATTTCCGATTATTTACAGCACTCACGACTACGTTGCCCTCCGATTTTGTAATATCTTTTAAGAGTCCATTAATTCCTGCTGTAATAGCGAAGCCAGTATTTTCTTGGCATTACGTGCGATGCCCGCCGGAAAACGAATGCACCAATGGCCACCATACATGCTCCCCAAAGAGTGAAAAATGTTTCGATTCCGAGGAAGGGTTTGAGTGCATGTGTGGCGATGGATATAAAACTGAAACGTAATTCTATTTGCTCTTGTGAAATTAAGTGTAATAAGCAATGTGTTGATCGATTTATATTTATTTCCAGGCCCTCCTCGTTCAACGAGTTTGGAAGGTGAGATTGGTATATCGTTTAACTACGGCAAAGCCTTAAATTATTATTCTCTATTTTTTTCTATTTACAATGTATTTTATCTTCAGAAAAATTTGTGTACCAATGTGCACGCAAGGTTGTGTCAGAGGAACGTGTGTAGAACCAAATATTTGCCGCTGTGATTTTGGTTACGTAGGTGCCAATTGCTCCATTCAGTGCCAGTGTAACGGCCATAGTAATTGCGAGGGCCCAGACAAGTTGGACGTCTGTTTAGAGTGCCATAATAACACGATGGGACCACAATGTGACAAGTGTTTACCTTTATTTGTTGGGAATCCAGCGGACAATGGACAATGCGTACCATGCCTCGAATATTGCAACGGGCATACACGAATTTGCATCAATGAGAGCATGACCGTGCCGGTAATTTATTTATTTTCGCCTATTGAAAGTATAAATGAAAATTAAACAAATCGTGAGAATCATTGTTCTTTACAGGATCCAAATTCTATTAACAAAATGTCGATAGAATTGTTAAAGAAACAGCTGGTCGAGGGTCCTGTAGCCAAGGCGAAATGCGTGAATTGTGGCAATAATACGAAAGGTGACAAATGTGGCGAATGCATGATTGGATATTTCAGAGGAACGGAAGATCTGCACGATGTGTGTCGACCGTTAGTATTTTTATAAATATTACCGCGTTTAAATAGTTTACTAGATACAATATATTACTTCAATAAAATATTTTTTCAGTTGTGAATGTCACGGGCATGGATTTACTTGCGATCCTGTAACGGGAGAAAAGTGCAATTGTGGTAATAATACGGAAAGTGAGCCATGTACCAGCGGGCCTATGAAGGATACAAATACTGGCGGCCCGCCATGTTGGATGGTACAATGCAGTAAATGCAAAGAGAATTATGCCGGCAAACCAATCATGGGTCATCAGTGTTACAAGACAGTAACAGTCGACAACAAGATGTGTTTTGATTCCAAATTAATAGGTAAGTACTTTGATAAGTGATCAAGTACATACATTCTTTCGTTCATGTTTTAAATACATCTGAATTGATCATAAATTTCTCCATTACATAAACTCCTATTATTCGTGCACTTTGCACTTTAACGAAGTATTAATTTTCTCAAATTGTCTCATTCTATTCTATCTGGAGGATCTTATGGTTCGTACACCTCCAATAATGAATTACAATGTCTCTCACGAGCTTGTACGCGTTTCTTATACCAGCCTGCCATTTTTCATCGATTACAGATGAGTGTAAAATGAAACCAAAACCATTAAATCCTGGCCAGACGGTATTCTACATGGTGCAACCTCGTTTCCTGAATGTCGATATCAGAGTCATGGTGGACGTAACACAAGGAGCGTTAGACCTATTCCTCAGCCCTCGTGACGATTCCTTTGTCGTTACTTTAAATTCATCGACGGGCTACCAAGACGTGCGTTTTCAAAACTATTCTTTTCACTGTAAAATATTAAATTTTGAGTTTCATATCAGTCTGTAATTACCTACAGGTTGAATTGGACAACAGATTCGTATGGCGCAAAGATCCACACAATATATGGCTGGACGAGCACACTCGTAGCATAATGAGGATCGTCGAATTCCATCCAAACAAAACGTTTGCATCTAACGGCACTACCACCGAACCAAGTTGGAACACCGGCCCCCAATACATCGTAATGGAACGCTACGCGGAAAGTTTGGCCACTTTTTTAACGATCGAGAAGAGGAACACGTTCTTGGTCGTCAGGAATCTCACGAATCGATTGGTATTAACATTACCGCAGGACAAACACGAGCTCCATCAAACGAAATTTCATATCGCGTTAAGGGCAATCGATCCTGTTCATCCGAAGATAAATGGTCGAGCTGCTTACGGGATGATATTCTTCCGACAGGATCAGCTACATATCGATTTGTTCGTATTTTTCTCCGTGTTCTTTTCCTGTTTCTTTTTATTCCTGGCGGCGTGCGTGGTCGCTTGGAAAACGAAACAAGCAGCCGATGTACGAAGAGCGCGAAGAAGACACGTCGTCGAAATGTTACACATGGCCAAGAGACCATTCGCCTCGGCTACCATCATTTACGATCGAAACGGGAACGACTGCAGTCCGAGCTCGCCGCAGCGAAAAACTAGACGTAACAAATTGGTCAGCTTTCACAGCGACGTCAGACCGGTGGCAGTCGAGCCAACCGACGACGGTGTCGCCGCCGTGGCCACTGTCTTTATCAGACTACCAGGTGGTCGTCAGGCTCCCGTTAAATTGGCCCTTGGCAGCTCGTTGATACTACTGACCAGAGTCTATCCGGTCAACAGTAGGGTGTTCCTAAGACGTAGAAACAGTCACGCGCTGAACTGAGCTTCTCTCGGTAGGAATTTCTTTTTCCGCTATCTCCTAAAGTCTGCTAAAAAAGCTCTCGAAACACGTAGACGGTCATTTTTATTCTTAACACTTGCGAATCGTTTTCGTTGATCTCATCTTTCATTTTAATTATCCGTCTTGTCCGTGTTGTTTGGTGCATGATTGTTACACGAATCAGGAAAATAAACATTTTCACACGCAGCGGAATTCTTTGGATTTTAAATCGCAACGCGTCGAATTTTTTTTCTCTTTTTTTTTTTTTTACCGAGGATTCATCATTTGTTCTGCCATCGTCGACATTGTTCAACATTCGCCAGTAATATGAATCTTTAGTATAATCTTGTATTATAGTTGCAAAGAAACAATTGTAAGGGTATTTAAGCTAGGTGATAATATATTGTCATACCATTCCATGACGAGACTGTATGTTTGTATATAAGAATCTGTAATTATGTATTAATTCGTAATTTACACGTTTTTGTAGAAGCATTTTATGTGAACCGGGCATGGTTTTGTGTCTTGGAACGTTTTGCGGTTACTTTCGATGGAAAGTGGAGAATTTTACTGTGTCGTTTTACGAAACTTTGCGCAATTGTTCTCAGACGTATTGCAAAGGTGTATTTACTCGCTGTCATAAAAGTCGACTACCTTAATCGAGGGCTGCGAGTGGAGGGAAGGTAGCTACGAGTATTATTCTCACTATCAGGTTCTTCTTTCATATTTCAATAACGGTTTTTAGATAAGATCAAAATTTTTAACGAGAAACGAAACATTCAATTACATCGAGCGAACGAAGCAGGTGATTTTACCATTACGACCCATGTAAATATTGAAATTGTCAGCCGTGGAACAGATTGTAAAGCTTGATGTGATAGTATTCCAGCACAGATACCGACAGGATTACTTTCAGAGCGACGAAAACGTAACGGTAATCATACCAGCTGACACTACTTCCTAGCAGTTGGCAAACGTGGTGATTCTCAAACACGACGCGTATACGTGTACATTTTGTACGAACGTGCGCTGTTAGAAATATCTTAAGTGCTGAAATGAAATCGAATCGTATTCGCATAATTTAAACGAACAGTATTAGTATCGTTGATTAGAAAGAAGCTCGAGGACGCGTGAGTCGAAAAAGGTTCCTATGCCAAAAACTGATGAGGAATAACGGATCGTCGTAGAATAATAATATATTATTTATGGCGGGAAACGATAGAAACGTAAAGAACTTTAATTAGAGAAGGTTGTAAATACACCGGATACACATTTACGAATGTTTATTGACACCGTATATATTCTGATTGTAAAATACTACCACCAATAGATATCGACTTGAATCGAATGAAACTGAGAGGTAAAGAGAACGTGTCTTTTATCAAAGATGATAAGGTTACGCATTAATCAAAGATATAAATAGGGTGTTGATGTAATGATATTAACGTGTACTATTAAGAAAGAATGTAAGCAAATTAATTGAAAATATGAGCGACGTAGTGACATAAATGTAAATAAATAAGGAGGGATTTTGCTAAACTGTTACGCGGTACCAAACAGGTTCAACATATTCTGTACAGAATGTTTTTTCGGATAATTGTTACGCGGTTTGAATGTTTTACACTGTACTCGTGTAGAACGCAATAGATGCTCAATCAAATATGTTTACTTATTTAAGTAAATAAATATTGGTATTAATCAATGGAAAAATTTCAATACTATCGGTTTTAAAAAATTCTACGAGTACAGTGCGAAGCATTCTAGGCATGCCATCTGTAGTATCGAGAGAATGCACTGTTTTTCCTTTATCAGGAATAATAATGCACCGAGCAATTGTTGAGTGTGCATACGACAATGTAACACGTCCTGTCCGTTGAATCTCAAGTCTATTTTTTTTTTCTCACGAGTCTCGTCATTGCGCATCTAGACGACAAATAATTTTATTACTTCGAGAACTTCGAATTCGTCTCTCTTTGAATATATTTTTCTCTTTTTATTCTTCTTTATCATCGCGGTTCACGGTTATACTCGTTTACATCCACGCGACCAACTATCCTAACTATTCACCCGCGAGGTTTGCGCAACAATCTGTAAACACATATGTAAAGATACAAACTAACGTGTATGTACATTTATATAGATTTACGTAATAGAGATATATATATATTATATATACATATTATGTATACACGATGAATGTGTAATTTCTCGGTTGTACAGATCTGAGCGTTATCTCCAAAATGTTCTATTTTATATATAATTATTACATTGCATTCAATGTAAGCGATATCTTCCAATGCCGGCATTGTATCGCGTTGAGAAATGTTTGTAACACGTCGAAGACACTGTCGTTTATCAAGTGTATAGAAAAGGTTGTGAGGTCCGTTGGTGCAGGCATTCTTGTTAAGGTTCGCCAGGCGTCGTGGATTTATTTGTAGCCGTGGGGAGGATTAATGAGGTTGTGCTAATGAAGATTAATGAAGTGTATCGAGGAAGCTTTAATAAACGTGTGTAAAATTGGGTTTCACTCGATGAGTTTTCATTGAAACTATACATAGAGGGTGTTCAACCACCCCCTGTTAAAAATTTTAATGGGGGATTCTGGAGGCCAAAATAGGACGAAAATAAAGAATACCAATTCGTCGATTAGAATCTCCCATTAAAATTTTTCCCAGTGATGGCTGAACACTCTGTATATCAACACATTTAATTTACAGTCAATACATTGAAATCATATAACCACAAAAGATAAAAATAGAAGTATCTAAAGAGCAGAGGCGCAAGAGAATTTTGATATCTCAAAAAACACTTTGTATAACGATTATATGTATATATGAACCAAGCAAATGTCCAATTGCTATGGTAACTATACCTCACAACAAAGTTCTGTCGAGGCTCCTCAAAGTACGCGATCGAATTTGTATATAGAATGTCCAAGTCGTGCGATGACAAATGCATAGTAATTGTACACGAAGCCAAGAAAGTGACAAATATATTAAAATATAAATTGAGGCAGAATCGTGTAATATGAGATTCAAAATATCATTGCAAAATCGTAATGGCCACAAACGGCTGGTAACGTGCGTAGCATGGAGCTCGGCGGAGGAAATTTATTCCTGCGGGTATGTTTTTAACATTCATGAAAAATTACATCCGCGAAGTAATCGATTATTACTTTTTTCCTACAGCGAGGATCATTTGTTGATATCTTGGCACCTGGAAGGCGGAATCGCTCATTCCAGCATCGTTACAGAATTTCCCGATGACTTTTATCCCACGGATATGCAATGGCATCCACGGCCAAATTATACAACGTTGATTACGAAGAAGCAATCGTTGGATGTTTTGTTGATCACTACAGCGGATGGTATTTACTTCGAGAATTTCAAACTAACATGTTTACTGCTTATTTTATTGCAATACATATTACTGTGCTCTAATTTGATATTTTTATTGTAGGAAAGTATCATTTGGTAAATAAGAATGGACGTATAGAGAAAAGTGTTGATGCTCACAAAGGAGCAACAACAGTGGGCAAGTGGAGCAGCGACGGTTCTGCCCTCTTGACTGGTAATTTGAACACTTTGCAAAGGGGAAATCCTGAATAGTTGACTGCACAATATTTGAACAATTTCAGCTGGCGAGGATGGTTTGATAAAAGTATGGTCACGTAGCGGGATGCTTCGATCCGTTATAGTTAGAGGCACGTTGCCTATTTTATCAGCTGTCTGGAGTCCTGATTGTATGACAGTGCTGTATTCTCAGGGAGCTCATCTAACATTCCAATCACTTAATTCTAACTCCAAACCTCGAAAGGTTTATTAATTTAATACATACATGCAGCCTTTAAATTATTAAAGAACAGATTAATGATCAAAGAAATCTTTCATTTCAGTTACTTGCACATGATGGACTTATTTTGGTTTTATGTTGGAATCATACTCATGGGCTCATAGTGTCTGGTGGGGAAGATTGTAGGTACAAGGTATGTACAATTACAAAGCATGAATTTTCATTGTGAAAGAAAAGATTTAATTAAATTTAAATTGAATCTTTTTCCCCAAAGGTGTGGGACTCAAATGGCAGTCAGTTGTTTTCTAGCAATGCAGGAACTCACCCCATTACGGCCGTGAGTTGGAGCTACTCTGGAAACCATTTTGCTGTTGGATCATTTAATACAATCAAGCTTTGCGACAAAACGGGAGTTAGTTTAGATTTATATTATATATTGTAATTTAGATTTACAAATCATTAATATGTATTTTTTTTAGTGGTCCCATTCATTAGAAAAAATTAATGTTGGAAGTATATACAGTATTGCTTGGTCTAACGACAGTACTCAGGTTGCTATGGCTTGCGGTAATGGAACCGTGTTGACTGGACATATAATAGATAGGTATAAACAAAAGATATAATAACAGAATGTTATCGAAAACCATTGCTTCTGTATTTATGGATTCTAAAAATAAATAGGAGATTAGAATGGAATAATTATGAAGCCACGTTGACCAAACGAAAAGTAATCGAAGTCAGGCATATTAATAACGAAATCAGAGAAACATTAGACATATCTGATCGCGTGGTTCAGTTAGAATTTGGTTTCGATCATTTAGTTGTCATCACGCCGGCGCAATGTCACGTTTACTCGGTAACGAATTGGAACACGCCGGCCATATTTGATTTGAAGAATACCAGCATATCAGGGGTACTTCTTGCAGAGAAGTATATAATAATTATCTTATATTTCTGACGAATAAAGAGAAAATATTCGGTGTTAATGCAAACGCTACTTTTTAGACACTTCTTACTGGTTGAATGGAACAGCGTATCGTTGTACAGTTATCAAGGTCGGTTACTGGGGACTCCAAAATGGAAAGGAATGACGCAGGAACGACTTCATCCTCCTTGCGTGTCACTGTGCACCGACACGTTGGTTTTGAGATCGCAAACGAATGAAAAATGTACGACAGAACGTATTCTCGGGTACGAAAAAAAAGGAAATTGTTCCATACATGATTTCTTATGAAAGTTATTATTTAGTGCTGCACGTTTTGGAGTTGGCTTACAACAAACCGACGACAGAAAGTCAACCTTACACGCATCTTCAAAGTATCACAAGGGTAGCGTTGAATCATATCGGAGGACCCGCTGATCGACAAGTAGCGTTAATCGATGTAAATAAAGATTTGTTTTTGGTTTCTGTGAGAACTTCGGGTTTCGGTAGAATATGCAAAATAGGTAGGCATTTTTCGTATTCGCGATAGATGTTCAGTGTCAAACGTTTCTATAAATTATCACTTGCTTTTTCAGCTGCTATGACTCAAGACATTGCGTGGGCGACTGATGCAAATGTCTTAGCAGCAATGTTGGACGCAACGCTGTCGGTGTGGTTGTGTCCTAATTGCGTACATTATAGCGACCGTAAAATAATAAAAAAAACAAGGATCGATAAAGAAAGCAGGTTTTAGTTAAATTTCATTCTCCTCTGTTAAATTCAATTTATTCGATCGTACCTTGTACTTACATTTTGCAAATACTTTCAGTGAATTTGGTAAACAGCCGAGTATAGTAAACGTGTACAATGGTATGGTGATGATACGTCGCGGCGATGGAGCGTTAGTAGCTTCTACATTTTATACGTTTTTCATTAGTCTTCATCAGCATATATTGAACAAGAGATGGAAAGAAGCGTTGTCTCTTTGTCGAATTGCTCAGGTAATTAGTGTACTTTTAATTTCCTGTATAGTTGAGATTTCGATTTCTCTAAAACGAACCTACCCGTTAGAATGAAATATTGTGGACCTGTATGGCCGTTATGGCAACCGACAATAAAGAAATGAACGCCGCGGAGGAAGCATACGCAGCGATATCAAGATTCGACAAAGTCGATTATATTCAATATATAAAGGTAACAATTTAAATACAACTGGAAATAGTTTTTAATAATGCCCATTTATTTGCCATTGAAAGGGTCTGCCAAGTAAAACGGAGAGACTGGCAGAAATGGCGCTGCTGTCGGGCGATTTATTAACTGCTGAAGGTATACTCTTGCAAAACGGATTAATTGAAGAAGCTATACGAATCAACCTTGAAATGTACAACTGGAACAGGTATTGTTTAATTCGTCGTAAGTTGTTTTCAATTGTTTTTAATTTTTTTTTTTTTCTTAGAGCGTTAGAGTTGGCAATCAGACACAAAAAACAGCAAGAGGAAGTATTGCGGGCAAGAAAAGAGTACCTTCAAGTAATCAATAAGGAAGAAACAAATCAAAGTTTTCTTGCGTATATGGCGACCATTGCTAAAGCGCAAGTAAACAAATAACTCTCTTTCATCGCACAGTTCCAGCCATCTTGCACATCATACGTACATTTTTTATTAAACAGTGAGACAACCTATTTTCACCAGGAAGTCATCGAAACTCCTCTCTTTCGACCAGACCCGGTCGAGCCATCGGAAACGGAAGTACAAAAGCCCGAATCGTCGGATCGAGAAATGCATATGTGAAAGGGCAACAACAGTCTCGTTTATACAAATTGTTTATTAAAATATATAAAAGTGAAGTATAACGAACCTGCATTTCAGTTTTAAAAAAAAATCTTGTAATTATTCGGGATAAATAGCACCGTGAATCGCATATATTTTACAGGCCTGGTATCATGTAATACGAAAAAGGTTTCATAAGGATCTTTCGAATAAAAGGTCGTACAATAAATAAATTCTTTTTTTTACCAAACTACATTTCGCTCGCGTTATAAAACTAGAATCTTCAAAAATATCGAGATCGTACCAACGATGAACATGGTAAATATAAATAGTAGTACAAACTTATGGGTGTACCATGGTGACTCTTCTGTTACAGGCCTGTACCGCGTTGCCAAAGAGGACTGAAATCAACGGTACATCTTTTGTCGAAAGAACTACAATTTAAATAACAGTTTTAGTGTACAATACATTTTATCTTACCCATCCACCGTTCGCTTGTATCCACACAGCAAGATCCTCTTCTAAAACATCGGTCATACCTGAGAAACCAACCGAATTAAAGCGTGTATAATGATGTAAAGTCTTTCTATCGCTAGAGCGAAAGAACCCAAGGTCGGAGGAATCACGTTGCAATTTTAACAGAATCAATTACCTCTTTGTACGGCGAGCAGGTATTCAGGTTTGCCCTGACGCACGCAGTCCACTGCAATGCCACCTGCGACCGCGTAAAGGGCTATCACCTTGCTCCATGTCATCTCTCCGTTTCTGATCATCTCTCTGGAGACGTCGACTATGGCCTCGCTGGTGGATTGTTCCGACGAGAAGTTGCTGCAACCGATCTGCCGGGCGACACGATTGAATAATTTCGGATGCATTTTTTCCAGCTCGGCCCCGACCGACGTCAACTCTGGATAAACTTCACCGACTACGCCACCGCCCGGAAGCAACATGGCGCTCCTCATCCTCTTCAGGCCAAGCTTTCGTTGAAAGATTCCGGATCGTTTCAAACGATTTCGAATATACTGGGCGCACAGTGAGGAGCCCTGGACAAAAGATAAGTATATAACGCTCTTGAATTCAATTTTTAGATTAATTTCTTGTCTCTTTTTCAACAGATAGAACTCTACGGTTGGACTGAACAACTCAGTCGTTTTCTACAATTGTGTACCATCTATGAGACCACCATTCTTTAACTTAAGGTAGAAAAATCTTCATGCTCTACTTTAATAGTCATCTCAAGATAAAACTTGGAATTGAATTTATTTTTAGACAGAAGTACAGGGTGATTCTCCTGCTATGTTTCATTATGTTGCGAGTTACCTGTGACACGGTGAGCTCAATCGAAGCGGAAACGGTCCTCCAGCGTATCGTGTGAGAGATCTTCCTAGATACCACGTCGCTGACATTGCTCAGTCGTCTTCGCGCCGAGTCGACCACGTGAAAAGTGGAGATCTCTTGATTGTTAGCGGCCGTGAAACCGGTCAGATTCGAGTGCAAAGCAATGGCGAGGCTGTTCTTTCGATAAGGTTGCGCTGCGTTCCCGGAAGTCTCCTCCAGGTTTCGTAAAGAACCGACGAGTCCAGACATTGAGGAATCCTCCGTAGAATATTCCTGCCATTCAGGCTTCTCAGGCTTAAAGGATTTTAAACACACATTAACACTAAGAATTCGTTCATATTTTGTTTTATCTTTTTCCGAGTTACGAAGATCAGCTTAATTTTATTTTTACATATTAAATTAGTGTCGATTGCAATCGAAATTATATCTCGTCAAAAATTGTTATCGTCCATTGCTTACTAGGTAATCGGTATTTACAGAAAAAAGAAATGTTTACGAAACTATCGTGCGCGTGTAGCACGCGTTACAAGACTAAACGCATCAGTTCCAAGTAACAATGAAACTCCACAGGGATCTCTCCTTGTAAGTCAGAAAGGAACCTCGAGTACCATCGGTGAATATCTGAAGTCCCTTTATGGTAATCGTGGGGCACACGAAGGAGAACCGTCGATAGAATCTTCTGTCCTTACTACCACAACACCGAGGTACGTTCACACCAGGTATCGCGTCGTAATTATTATTCCGCTCGTGAGTACAGCTGTTGTTATCTCGCAGCCTTATTTGGCCTTGTTATTTGACATGCTTCGCGGCGCTTTGTGTGCCTGGTGTAAGATACACTCCTCATTGTGTGCATATTACTCATTTCCATTTCATCATTTGCGTTCTTAACGAGGAGGATTAAGAGCGGCATATGTCATTCCACTGTGTTAAAGTAAACTCTGTGAATTGAGGAATCACGGGTTCGTTGGACCCTCTCAAAGATCATGGGGCGTCAGATCGCATTGTTCTTAAAATGTCACCCATTTGACCATGTCTGAATCAAGGTTTTCGTGGCTTATAGTAAAGTGGAGAATTTGTAAATATATTTAACACCTTCGTCGCCAGGCAAATTACTTTTTATCTTCTGAATCTTATTTTATATACATAAATTCGAAACTTTATTGATTTTAATATATTCGCGGTTGTAACGGTGTGTTTAAAAATGCTGCAATGCAATCGAGAGCAACTCTTTTTCCACCGTGACTGAATAAATATTGTCCATCTGACAATCTGGCGGTAAAATAACAAATCGCTGTAACGCAGCACGCCTAATTCCACGTCAGATTCTTTATTTAGGACGGAAGTGATCTAGGGCAGATAATGTTTTCCAAAAGTGCTGTAACTTTGTCAAATTAACGGTAACTTCCGGGAAATGTACTGTAAATAGTTTGCTTTCACTGTTTCCAAACATTCGATGTACTATTATCTTTGTGGACATTGCATATGCACGTGAATCAGACAAATCAACATTTATAAGTGTTTGATCGAATCTGTATTTGTTATCAACGAGTCGGTGGGAAAAAGTTGTTTGAACCGATCACAGAGGTCACGATCGACGCGTAAAAAATTAATTAATTTTATGGTTATAATTACTTCTCTCAAATATTCGTTATCAATTTAAATAATAATCAGTTAATTGATTATCGTTTAACATTTTACGTATTTAGTATTATTTACGGAAGAAGATCGTTCATTTTAACATTTACTCTTACTCGTTGCATTTCCTTGTAACTCATAGTATCGCATTTAGTCTAAAGTTAGACATTGGTTACATATAGGAAAAATAAATCGGGATCGAATCTGAAAATATCTCAGGAGTTTGTCTCGGCTAATATCTATGATAGAAGTTGTCGGATTATTCTATAAAATTCTTTAATGCTGTAACTTGCATTTAATAAATTTTAGTAGTGCTTATTAGTGTATATTAGAATAACATGAGTTGGAATATTAATTAATCATTAGCATTCTTGCTCTTGCAAAAAGTAAATAGCTGAACGAGTGTACTTACAGTTTCTCACTTAAAGTATTAACATTTCTGACCCTAAGCATTGCGCAATAATCTCATCAGACCTGTTGCACGTCGTACGTACACTTTTAGTACGTGAACTTTACCATTGTTTTTTAATACAAAACGATTGATTTCTTAATAACAAAGCATCATAAGAAATCAACTAAACTCGGATAGAACCTTGCAAAAATATCGATCGGTCTAACCTAAAATCTGTGCTGCATTGTTGTCGCTACTTATCGATTTTGATAGACAAGTAATCAATTTTATTTATTCCTATATAATTCTTAAATTTGAAACAATATATTTAATGAAAATAGTATCGAGTGTACAGTTCTTTTTCAATTCTGTTCGAAACATTTTTCACTAAATTTACGTTTGGCGGTTCGTGATTTTTCCTTGTGGATCGAGATCGCGAGTGAGAAACAGTGAGAGTGTGCGAGATGCGATTAAGTGGTGGGGATAATACTGGACAAAAACAGCGGCAATTGGAGGGACAGTACTCTGTGGTGTTGAAACGAGACATACATTTAACGCAGTAAGTTTAGTGGTTATCTAACTTCTATAGCATATCAAAGTTGTTTGATTTGAGAAGTTTGACAAATTTATCGGCCTGATCGATAAAGTGATTTCGAGAGTAACGCGTATTTCATCGTGTGAAACGTACACCATAATATTTTATTCGATAGACATTGGTCGGGGAGTCGATCGTAACGAAACGTGGAAAAGTGTTATTTTTCGAGCAAGTTAAAAGCGACGGTGGACACGTTAAGTCGTAAATTATCGAACGGAGAGTGAAATTGTAATTTTACCATTGTTTGGGTCGTCTGCTCCTGGACCCCCAGTCGAATGTCCGGCTTCATTGTAATTATCGCCCGCCTTATTAGTCGCTGTCGTCCAACTTGCTCCACATACACATTATACGCGTAATATATTTCTGAATTATCGCTTATCAACGGTGAGTGTGGACGGTCGATTATCGTTCCGAAGAGCGTGCGCGGCAGCGCGTTAAATCGTTTGTTTTATCAATTCCCGAGGCTTATTTCCGCGCCAGAATCGCGCCGATAATAAGATCGCGCGTCATTTTTGCATTTTTCTTCGCGTAGCTCGCGTCACGTCGACTTCGTTAGAAAAGAGAAATGGGGGATCGAGCAACAGATCGGTCCACGATCTCACTGTCGTTTTATTTAAACAGATTTTACTCGAGGTAAATATGCACACGTAATTTTGTTTCTTTTGAAGCGATGACGCGACATCTAGGGGAGGGGGAAGAAGGACAATTTATGATGTAGGCAAATGCGAGTAACATCAATCATTTTGAAATTGATTTGACAAAATGACACAGACGTTTCTGATTTATTGAAAATGTACATTTATACATCGAGCGATGAAATCACTTCAATGGACTAACCTGCAATTACTTTATGCGGTATATGTCATCCTTCTGCGTACAAAGTGTTTTTTGTAATTATTGTTAATCATGAATAACCAACTCATTGTCGCGGAAAGGTCGACGAGGAAAATATGCTTCTTATTTTCTTCGGAAGCTGCGTGCACTTATGTAAGCGAGAGAAAAAGCTTGCCCGAGCAGAAAAATACGCGGGACTCTTCATTTGGGATTCCAATGTGAAACGAGAAGCATATATTCGCGAATGTAATTAATCGCTGACATTCTTGCCGATGAATTGCTTTGGTTTTCCCAATGAAAATGACGAACACGACTCTGTTCGAACTATTTTTAAATTCCTATAGTTTAAAAAAATGATATAAACAATGTGCAATTAAAAATAATTTAAACAGGGTCGTGTTTGGACTCGTTTTCATCGGGGAAACCCCGTCGACTCGATGATACTAAAGATACAATGAAAAATTTAACAAATTGTATTTCAACATCGATTCCCATATAGATAGTAACAAACGATATATGCTCTTGTAAATGTTTGAGTGATTCTTAGAATTAATTAGAGATAAAGGACATTAATTAGAGAAAATCAAGAGTGAAATTAATGAAGTTGACTACCGTTAAGTGGTTTTCTGGTTTGCTCAATACAGCAATTAGCGAAGTCTTAAAGAGACGTTCGAAGTAAAGCGGGGTGAAGAAATCACGTCTCGTGTAACCAATTATTGCGCATGCTCGTTCGAGCCAACGATGGTAACAAAATAGGGGAAGAACGTGTACTGCTGTCGTAACATTTTAATCGAACATTTGCGATCTTAGCGCGGTAAAGCGATTCTTAAACAAATTAATTTCGAAATAAAAAATATTATTACCGGTGCTTTCAATTCCAGAATATTATTATTTACAATTCGCGAACATCGAACGTGCGAACAACGCACGCGTGTCGGCAGGTGTTAATTATATAACGTAACAACGTTTATCGTATGTCTTTCTTTTGCTGTTTTGCACGGAAATGGCACGTGTTGATGACACGAACGTGACCAATTAAATTTATGTAGAGCGAACACATACGTGTAATACGATGCCGTAGATCATGTTGATATTATTGTTCTCATAATCGACAACTTTTTCGAAGATACAGAAGCATTTTTATTCCGCGTAATCTACTTTATTAATTTTGTAACTTTTAATGTTGATCTACAAAAAAATCTTCTGCTCGACTCTGGCAAATGTAAACTGTATCTTGAGCACGTATAAAGGTTAAAATAAGACGAAAATCTTAACTGAGGCTTCATTAAAAAGTTGTTAAAAAATTAAATTAAAAGATTTCAAATCATTCTGGAAAAATTATTTTCGGTCGCGGGGGTCAATTACAATCACTTTTGGTCAATAAACATACCCCCGAAATCCTACTCATTTTCTAGAAAAAAATTCGAGGTGTGAAATTTTTCGACAAAATTACAAAATTTCAAATCGTCCTGGAAAAATTATTTTTGTTTGCAGGGCTCAATTACAATCATTTTCGGTCGATAAACATACCCTCGATATCCTACTCATTTTCTAGAAAAAAATTCTAGGTGTGAAATTTTTCGACAAAATTAAAAAATTTCAAATCGTTCTGGAAAAATTATTTCCCGTCGCAGGAGCCAATTACAATCACTTTTGGTGAATAGACATACCCCCGAAATCTTAACCATGTTCGAGAAAAAAATTCGAAAAGGTGTGAAATTTGCCATTTGCAAAATATTAAAATAATCGCATAGGAATCTAATAAAATTAATTGCAATTTGTCATGTCGTTACTCGCTCATTTTTATATAGTTTATAAGTTTCTATGATTTTATATTTACATATACAGGGTGTTCGGCCACCCCTGTAGAACCGGGTCATTGGCGAATACGTGTGTCAAATACGATGTAAAAAACCCGCTTTCCACAAACTACGCGATAGACAGGTTTAACGAGGACAGTGAGTTTGAGTAAAATACAGTTCTTTAAAACTTTTGATAGACACCTTTAGCGATAACAATGAGTTTGAGTAAAATACAGTATGATAATACGACTACCATCGCCATTAGTCGATCGCCTCAGGTTGAACTGTCTGAAATATCGGTATCGTAATTATTTATTCAAATTGGCGTTCCGCTTAAATAATAATTTTCACGGAAATGCAAGCGTTAACGCGCATTCGAGGATATCATTGAATTATCCACAGTACGTAAAGGACGTACGCGTAGTGGTCTGCATAAATTTACATGTTTTATTGGTCGGTCGATTGGGTACACCGTCAAATTTCATAGGTGACGTAAGCAAAGAGAAGAAAAAGGCATGGAGGAGTAAGGAAGAACGACGTGTAACCGACGGAACGAAATATGGGTCGAGTCAGCTTTCAATAAGAGATGCGGGCAGCACGTTCGGCCAACGGCCCCCTCGCCCCCCACTCCGCAGAAGTTTGCCCTAAACCGGAGCCCTTGTTATCCATCCAGAAGCCATTCGCTCGTTGCCACTCGCGATGCCCGCGCGCGATTCTTTTGTCTCCCTTCACTTTCTCGCATCTTGTTTTTACTCCACGAATGCTTTATTCACCACCGAATGGCAAGTTTAAATTATTTCAGTAAACTGCCAAATCGTACCATTAATTTCGATCGCGGTTCTCCTATCGAAAATCTTGCACGTAATATTTATATAATTACTCTACTTTCGATTACGAGAAATAAATTATTAATAGAAGAAACATATTAATAGGATATATCTTAATTTTTAATGGTATCGTCTTTAGATATATCTTTCATTAATATCACTAAGATAAAACTTTGTTTATGTATTTCAATAGAAAAGTTGTTTTCATTACCTTGGATTCCACGAAGGTGCAAACAGTTATTACTAGTTTCGTTATCGGTCACAACCACGGTTACACCACGCTCGTAAAATATCAATTTTGTACACTGGTTTAATATTAATTGTTAGTCGATTGTTTTTCGAACTTTATGCACCGTAGTAAACTTTCGTACTGTCCACGAATATTTCACGGAGTATTGTTCGTGTTTCTTTACGAAACACGTAATTGTACCTTGACCGAACTATTGTTTCATTAAATAGAAAAGAAAGTAGTTTTACGATGATCGGAACGCGCGCGAGGAACACGTCGGCGCGCCGTCGAAATTGTAGGAAGCACAGCGCGTAGAATACTGGTGACTTTTCAACTACAAACGATGCAATGTGAAACTATACGTCAACGCCGTGTAAGTGTTATCCCAACTTACACCATTGTACTACGGTCAAGCTACTACGAAAACATTTCTGTCGCCAGACACAAGCGAATTAATTTTAAACAATAGGCAGAAGAGTTTCATGAATCTGTGAATGCACGAATGTTGGGCCAAATAGTCGTAATATTTTTAATAAAATTGTTTTCGAATTGATTTCGCTGTCTATAATCATTAGTACTATATATTTTTGATAGAGATGAATCATTTCGTAGTAGTATAGAATACGTAAACTGAACCAACGAGTGAATTATGAGTGGGATAATAAAATAATGATAACATTAATCAATTTTATTAGCATGCAGTGTGACGGTCAACGAAGCGGGCAACGAAATGGTGTAGCCATCTAACGGTGAACAGATCGAACTACTTGCATCCAATTTTGTAGTATCTAACAAGAACAGACAAGTTATAGAATATATTGAATTAGATGCAAACACAGACGAAGTACAGAATAGATCGTTTACTTCTTTACACACATTATATTTTTGGTAAAGAATTTTTTTTCTCGAAAATGGATAGGATTTCGGGGGTATGTCTATTCACCAAAAATGATTGTAATTGGCCCCCCTAGCTAAACATAATTTTTTTAGAACGATTTGAAATTTTGTAATTTCGTCGAAAAGTTTGACCACCTACTGAATTTTTTTCTCGAAAATGGATAGGATTTCGGGGGTATGTCTATTCACCAAAAATGATTGTAATTGGCCCCCCCTAACTAAACATAATTTTTTTAGAACGATTTGAAATTTTGTAATTTCGTCAAAAAGTTTGACCACCTACTGAATTTTTTTCTCGAAAATGGATAGGATTTCGGGGGTATGTCTATTCACCAAAAATGATTGTAATTGGCCCCCCTAGCTAAACATAATTTTTTTTAGAACGATTTGAAATTTTGTAATTTCGTCGAAAAGTTTGACCACCTACTGAATTTTTTTCTCGAAAATGGATAGGATTTCGGGGGTATGTCTATTCATCAAAAATGATTGTAATTGGCCCCCCCTAGCTAGACATAATTTTTTTAGAACGATTTGAAATTGTTTTTTTTTCTCCAGCTGTCGTTATTGTGGCCCTCATTTTTTAGTACACCGATACAAACTACAGAGGGCGTTTCAGTGGTTATATGCGCATCGCAGATAAAAATAGTATTTCAAAATGGCTATTCTTTCGTATACGCTTGTATAGATAGTACACACTATAATATCTATGGATTCGTGGTGATATATGTATACCATTAACCGGTTTGATTTTCTTCGATCAAACATTTTATTAGAATTGTGAGGATAATCGAGGAGTGTCGTGTGTTAACTTGTAAGATAGAGAATACGAAACCGGAATGTCTTTAGGTTAGTTCATTCAGAGGCTGTGATTCTAAAATTAGTTTGAAAATACCGGATTTTAAAAACAACTTTGAATAATTATATGCAACCATTACGCCATATACCCGGTAGAATAGATTGTATTGTCAGTGTACGAGTGTCGTGACAGAGGATAGCTGTCTGTAAGTGAGCTTAAGGTTCTATGATGGCATTGTCACGTATCTGTAACTCTTCCGATTTATTGACAACCGTTTTACGTATTTCACATGCAGGTATGAAATTTCAAATATATTTTTACGTAAAAGTTTGTATCCATTATTACTATTAAATTGTAAAGATACGTCAATCGAATTGAATTAAGTTCTCGTAACTTTTGATACTCGTATATATTATTTTGCTTCCATTTATTTCTAAACAACGAAGTGAAATTGCGTGAATACACATCAGTATGATTATCAATATTATAGAGATAGTGTCAGGGGCAGAATACCATTTTTTTATGGTGTTATCAGCAACTATTTTTTAAAGAAACAAATACTCGTAGCGACAGTATCTTTACGTTCGTTATGCGTTGTTGTCAAAACAACACGATGACGTAGCAAATACATTTTCGCATAGAAAAGAATGACAATAAATTTCGTAGCGAATGTTAACAAGATGCAACGTCATCGATGCATTTTTATTTATTTATACAATTTTCTGGTAATTATGTATGATGTTGACGAGTTACTTGATTTCAAAATTGTCGAGTGTTCTAGTGTAAGAAACAACTACCGCTCGCTTTTATTTTTAAATCACGCCTTCTACGTAGAATTGTTTATTTATCCTTAGTGTCTCGAAAACAACCGAGTCAACCTGAACTGTTACTTTTTGCTACGGAACACGACTGTTTCGACGCATTTTATTTCGCTTTACTTTTATTTCGTCGGCGTTATTAATACAACGAACGTGTTGATACTTTCTTCAAAAAAAGTTTAAGTTTCCTGAGACAGAAATAATGGTCAGGCAGTAACCATGACTAAACTATTCTTTTAAATCAAATTGTAATCACCTGTTGCTTTCTAATGTCTGTAATCTCAAAACTAAAAGTTACATGACTTCTCCCTCCAGTATACTTCAAGGCAGTGATGGGACATTCGTGGGAATTTTGGACATGCGCAATAGAATTTTCCGTCGTGGGATTCCTTTTTGCGCATGCGTTAGCTTTCTGCCATAGATGTATCTTTAGCGCAAAAAGAGGTGCATGTTGAGAATTCCCATGTTTTGTACAAAATTGAACTTTCTACTTCAAATTCTCGCTAATCACACAAAAATTAACTTATCGAAGATCCCCTACGTATTTCTCTACGTAGATTAAGAGGAAATTTTTTGTTTTTGTCTCTTTTCCTGTAACTTTCTTAAATTTCGTTCCTTACTGGGATCCAACGGTACTCTAAATTCTAGTTAAGTGTATACGGCGCTCCAGTGCGCATGACCAAAATTCCCACGAATGTCCATCACTGCTTCAAGGTCGTAGAAATCGATTAGATTCATCGACGAGATGAAGTAGATCTGAAAACAACAAAATCATGCGATCGCGACAGGATCATTTCGTTCGATTTACGTATATTGAAAATTGCAAGCAATTATATTCGTTTGCTCTGGAACACACGGCAAAATGAACAAAGTCGTTAACACGTCGCACAATTACCCCGACCTCCATTTTTATTTCAAAATTAATTTTCAACAAGGTGAATACGATCACTCTTTCGAATAAAATAATTATAATTTTTTCAGCAAGCGTCCCTTTAGGCGAAATGCAGTGCACACGATATACAACCGTGTACCAAAGTCGCATAAATGCTTTTCACGTGACGAGCCTCCGGCGTTATCCCGATCCTCCCACTCTACCGCTTCCTACAAACGTTTCCGAAATATATGCGAACGAGACCGGTCGCTTTACCTCGGAAAGGTCACGTGACATCGCCGCGCCTGTGTTGCTCTATGGTAGAAGCAACGATTGCAAATCTTTCTTTTCCGAACAATCAGCGCCGACAGCGCGCTCGACGGGCGCTCTGGTAACCTGCGGCGATAACCACGTGGGCTCGTACGACTGCTTCGGCGCGGTCAGTTTGAATGGCACGATGCAAAGCAACGTGCCAAAACCGTTCTGCTCTGCCGGGAAATCGACGCATTTGAACATGCCTGGCGGCCAATGGGCCAGGCACGGTAAATACATCGCCGAAGACATGCAGAAATATCATTATCAAAACGTCTGTTTCTCGCAAATAAAACAGGACATAAGTGGTTAGTAAGAGACAAAAGAACTATAAAGCCACTTAAGAATAATTGAATTTTACTAAATAAAATATTAAACTATCATAAAGATCAATTTTTGCTCGCGGTGAAGGGATGCATAAATTAAGCAACGAACTAATTTTTACGTTTATCTGTTCGCACAACGTACCTCGACGACGATAGATTTCTTCTAACGTTCTACAGTAATTTACGGTTAATTATTAATCGGTGCTGGACGCTCTAATTAACGTGAAAAATATCGTAATCGGTACAGAATTAACGAGAGCGCGGCGAAGATGCACTTCGTCTTATCAGCGCCATGGTGAACAGTGTGAAAATTGTAATATGTCGCTCAGGTACTGCAAGTCGGATCCTCGCGACGACTACCTTTTTGCGAACAGTGTTTCGGCCGAAATATATCTTTAGTATGAGATATACGACAGATTCGTCCCAGCAGTCGAACAGTGCAAAGCCCGCTGTTGTAAAGCCGCATCAGTATATAGGTGCAACGAAGAAAGAAAGGTTTAAAATAATAGTGAGGGATTACGGGCGTACAGTTCTCGTGTTTCACATAGGAATATCTCTGATATCTCTCGGTGGATGTTACGCAGCTGTGATTAGGTTAGTTCCCGCGATATCAAACTTCCATAGAACTCGTAACATCGGAGGGACAACGAGTCGTCGAATCGTACTTATAAAAATAATTTACTGATTTCAGCGGGTATGATATAACGCCTCTGGTTAAAACTATGTTAGACAATAACAACGAACACGTGCAAAGTATACTGAGTAGCTCGACGCAGTTCTTGTTGGCGTATGCAATTCACAAGCTGTTCGCGCCTGTCCGACTTTCGATAACATTAGGTGTAACACCGTTTCTCGTACAATACTTACGAAGAAAAGGTATTCTCAAATTGCCACAACGAGACAAAATAAAAAATTGAACGGAATTTCGTATAGCAGAATTTCCATTTTCTATATGCACTTTGTAATCGTAATTTGTAAACGAATATAATTTGATTAAATAAACGAAGATGTATATAAACTGTTTGTATGTATATATATATATTCAGATTTATTATATAAAGAATATAAAAGTTATAATTACTTTACACAACGTCACGTATATTTTCATGTGTGATATTTTTGCGCATCTACTTTAACGTATGAACGGCCATTTTAATTACAGCATTTTATTAGAAGATTTTTCATCGATCGCCGTAAATACATGACATACACAAAAGCTCGACAGTTTCAATGGACGAATTGATCAGTGAAATTGGAACAATGATTGCGTTCGATACTCGGTGTCGTTACCGAGCATAATCGAGCGACTCGCGCGTTTATGCTTCCATCGAGTCGCCCGTGTTAGTTTGATTACGAATAGGAAACATACAAACATGCCAAATATTTTGGCGGACATATATATGTACATAACTTTTTAAAAATATTTTATAGTACATAGTAAAATTAATGCATATAAGTATATATATATACAATTTAGTTAACCTAGAATAACGTATGCTTACAAGTCGATTTTACATCTTTCGAAGATCCCGTTTGTCCCAAATTTTATTGTATAGAGACAACGTTCATAAATCTATTAGAAAATGAAAAACATCAAAAGATTCTTCAATGATTCGGATTAAAAGAAATTTTCGAATGTTTTTCGAGTCTTGATTCAATATTATTAAATATACCTAAAGCTGCTTTCGTAAAAAATCATCGCGAGATTAGTTAAGCGTAATAGTTCTCGATCTATCGACCTAAAGTGGAAGGTTTGAAGACACAACGAGCCATAAATCAGGCTCACTGTTTTGTGCATAATATAAAAGTACACTTATAAACTTTGAACACTTTGTCTGCAAACAGTTTGAGCATTTTTTTTTTTTTTTTTTTTTAACTTAACTTAAACGACGACATTAGTTGTGAATTCTGGTAAGGCATAAGGGAAGAGTATACTACTTAAAATATAATGTAAACATTGTCTAATAATACTTGCAAACTAACCGATGATTAGTTTTAACATTTTATACAATCCTTACAGAACTTTCATAAAAAGTATAAGTGAACAAAAATTCACAAATAGCTTAAACAAACATACAGCTGTCTCGATAAAAAAAAAAAAAAAAAAGAAGGTATTTTGGCACAATACATTTGTATAATCCCCATAGTTATTTGCGATGCATTTATAAACAGAGATGAACAAAATTTGAACGAGAAGCATCGAATAACGAACAAAGGATTTCAATTAGCGATTTTTAATTCGTTATTTGTTCAATGAAACTTACGATAATAATATTCCGCTCATCTCTGCCGAAGAAGTATAAAAAAAAAATAATTATCTAAAAATGCGTATCTTGCTACACAGATCTGTGTTCCGTAAACCGAACCTTAAAAACTTATTCCTTTTATGCGAATTATTCAAACATACGATCGTATAAATTATTCGAATTTTATCAGCTATGATCGAAAACGCGTTGTTACGTGTTACTTTAGTTAGTCGTTATCCGAATGTTATGCTTAATGAACAGATGCGATGATTGAGAAAGACAAAACATTTCCAGTTTTGTTCTACGAAATTGTTTAAATATACTTTAGAAGTGTTTAAACGTACGCTTCTACCCGGCGTCCTTGTATGTGATTAAAAAACTGCCGCCAACTGGAGAGTGTCTTGCTCGACCATACCCAAAAGCTACTTGTTATTCCAACAATCATAGCCATTAAATACTTTATCATAAAAACCTCGAATTCTGGCCGTCTCCCAACGTCGCGGGTGCGCTCGCCAACGGGGCACGGCATCGAATACAAAGATTGCGGTCCAGGCCTTGAACACATCTCCATATTCCAGGTCAACATCCATTGATCGAAATAAGCTTGCTCGTAAAATAAGCAGGCGATTACGATCAGCGCAGGAACTATGTATAACACGGAAAATATGCCGATACGTATCATTAATTTCTCTAATTTGTCAGTCTTTGTACCATCGTGTTTCATCACCGTACGTATACGGAACAGAGACACAAATCCAGCCAACAAGAAGACAGTCCCGAGGATAAGGTAGACGCACAATGGCGCCAAGACGAACCCGCGTAGAGCTTCGACGTTCCAAAGTCCTACGTAACAAACACCTGATAGTATATCACCTGCAAGAATAAACAGAAACAATTGTTATAATTACGTTGTACAGTACTTAAATTTTACCGCGTTCCACGACTCACCTTCCACCTTTCCCATTGCGAGAATAGTAACTGTTTTTATTGCTGGTGCTGCCCAAGCAGCTAAATGGAAATATTGCGAATTGGCTTCTATCGCTTCATGGCCCCATTTTAAACCAGCAGCTAGGAACCACGTTAAAGTCAGGATGACCCACCATATACTGGACGCCATCCCGAAGAAGTAGAGTATCATAAATAGCACCGTGCACAATTCGTGCTTGGTACCTTGCGTTATCGTCGACGCCATTTGAATTCTCTCTAAAGGAGGTGGGAAAGGTTCTCTGCACGAAATGGAATTACCAGCAGCCCAACCGATCACGTAAGCCAGTGCTACCATCAGGTAACATACTGACAAGAAGATGATCGGTCTTTCAGGATACCTGTACATAAAATACTTTTTGTTCATTTCTGAAGCATTCAATTTAATTTATTAATAGATATAAGATGGGTATCATTTTAATTGCTTTAAACGAACGAACGGTATCTCCAATCCTCCCACTTCATGTTAATGTTACAAGCGTCAAGGTGAACAGAAACCCACTTTTATTTACCTGAATCTATCCGTGTCAATGAGAAACGTCAAGAAGGTGAAAAAACAAGAGGCTGCACAAACGGACGCCCAGGTACCGACCCAGATTCGCGAAAATCGTCGTTCCCTCTCGGTGAAAAACATCCCGTCGCAAGGCGCGCCGCAATTCTTTTCGACATTGTCGCCGACTTTTAAGGAATAACCAAGTTCGTGGGGAACCTTGAACTGCAACGGGCAGACAAAGCCAAAATCTCTGGCGCCGACCATGTAGCCGCTACCGAAGGGTTTCGGACCGCCTGGCCAGGATGGTTGAAACTCGGCGACCGGCATACGGGGTGGTGGGTAAACGGGCGCCGAGGGTTCTGGCGGTGTGGTCTCGTTGTGTCCAACGCAGAGTTCGGGGCCACCGTTCTCGGGCAGCTTGGCGCAATCGAGATTATCCGGCCAGGCGAATCCGAAGGTGTTCATCAGACGTTCGCATCCCGCGCGAGCACTCTCGCATAACGATCGGCACGGTGGTATGGCCCTGTCGATGATGGTGCATACGGGCGCGTAAACCGTGCACAGGAAGAAACGCAGATCGGGGCTGCACTTCATCTTGACCAGGGGTGCGAACTGATGCACCTCTTGGCCAGCGTCCTCTTGCTTCTGATGGTTCATTAGGTTCGGCATAATCGTCTCGTTGTACGGTATGTTCATGCATAAATTGATCGTGATCGGTTCGCATCTCCCGTGGTGTGCCAGCGGATCCTTCGCGTGCAGAGCATTGACACCGAGCGCGGCCACCAAAATCCCGTAGATCGTCACGTAATAGGGAATCATCGCTGCGTGTCGTCCGGCGACCGCCACTTCCGAGATCGATTGTCACGCGAAGTAGCTTTCAGAAGCACGCGAACGCACCACGCCTTCGGACATCACCAACAAATCGTGCGGGACATAATAATCTTTGAATGGAAGGAGCGGGGAAACGAGCGTACCTAACGACGATGATGGACGCAACCACAGTAATACTGTAAACAGAACACGGCGAATGCACTCCGTTAGAATAGAAACTCCTATCGTATTCCTTGCACCTTGTTGGCGCCATCTACGATCAATCGTAGGTACGTCTCGCAGGTTGCACCGAAAGAGCAAAAACATTCAATATTTTGTTATATATTTGTTAATAGATATATATTTAATATTTCCAATCTTGTTCACTTTATTTTGTTTCCGTAACATTCTTCTCTTCCATGCTACCTATTTACCCCCTCTATCAAACAGCGTACCATACGCTCCATTCCAGAGATGCGTGACGGAACCAGTGATCAGAGGTGCCAGAAAAGCACCGACGGTGCCCTAATCACACATGCCAGATCACGCGTACGTGAGCTCGTGGAGTTTCGGAGAGTCGACAAAGGCAAACTGACACATGCCCCCTTTCTCGATTCTCCGAAGCTGCCCGAAGTAATTTCGGACCGTCTCGTGGGAGGAAGAGAGAGGAAGGCTCATTTACCTTCTCGCACTTGAACAACTAAAATTCGACCTCACGTCGACGGCATACGATTCTAAGTCTCGACTGCCCAGGTATTTTCTATTTTCCGACCTATGTATGTAGACGAACATAAGCAAGATTATGATGAACAAAATTTTGTGAAATTTTTCTTACGGAAATACACGTTTTAAGACCCCCTGATCATATTTGAATTATTGAAACAAAATAAATTCATTTTTATTATTCCTATATATGAGCGTACATATGTATATCATTTCAGATATCACTTCTGATACATCTGGCAACGTATAACCATTACTGCTGGCTACTGCCAGCCTCTCGCAGCCTCTGCTGGCTTCTGCTGGCCTTTCCTGACCGCTAATGACCATTCCTCATACTTCTGACAACGTATGACGATTACAACTTGCTATTAGTTGCCCCTGCTGGTCTCTGCTTGCCACTGCTTGCTACTGCTGGCCTCCACTGGCCTCCGCTGACCACCACTGACCACCACTGACCACTACTGATGCTTCCGACAACGTGTAACTATTACTACTTGTTACTGCTTGCCACTGCTGGACTCTGCTGTTCACGGCTAGCCTCCGCTGGCCTCTGCTGACCACTCCTGATGCTTCTGACAACGTATAACTATTACTATTTGCTCCTGCTGGTCTCTGCATGCCTCTACATCCCTCTGCTGACCTCTGTTGGCCCCTGCCGACCACTGCTGACCACTGCTGACCACTGCTGATCTTTGTTATCTACTTCTAACATGATGTATAAGTATTCAAGCCTTGTATAATGTAAATCTATGGCAATAAATGATATAATTTAACAGAATTCTGTGTTCTCATCATTTTTACCTTTCTTTTCCTCTCCAAATCATTGCCTTAGTTTTAAGAGACCGTTTTTCCGGTTAAAATTGGATTCCCAAACTTTTAAATTTTTTTTCTGTAACCGTCACTCTCGTACCTGTTGGCAAAATCGAGAATTCATTTTTTTCGTCAAAAAATTTCTCCTCGAAAATTTCGCCGATTTCCCAAAAAGTCCTGAAACAGCTGGAAAGGCCTGAAACAGCTGGAAAGTCCTGAAACAGCTGGAAAGCCCTGAAACAACGAAAAAGTCCTGAAACAGCGAGAAAGCCCTGGAACAGCTGAAAAGTCCTGAAACAGCTGGAAAGCCCTGAAACAACGAAAAAGTCCTGAACAACGAGAGAATCCTGAAACAGCTGGAAAGCCCGGAAACAACGGAAAAGTCCTGAATTTTTAGCAAAGTTCTGAGTTCCAGGACTTTCCAGCTGTTTCAGGACTTCCCAGTTGTTTCAGGGCTTTCCAGTTGTTTCAGGGCTTTCCAGTTGTTTCAGGACTTCCAAAGGGGTTCCAAAATTCCAAGGAGTGTCCCTAGTGGGTTCAGGGAAACCAAGGAGTTTCAGGGAGTCTTATAACTAAGGGAATGATTTGGAGAGGAAAAGAAAGGTAAAAAATGATGTGAACACATAGAATTCTTTGTAATTATATCATTTATTGCCATAGATTTACATTATACAATGTTTTAATACATATATATCATGGCAGAAGTTGTTAAGGGGTCAGCAGGGGGTCAGCAGGGGTCAGCAGAGTCCAGCAGAGGCATGCAGAGGCAAGCAGGAGCAAGCAGTAACACGTAGTAATCGTTATACGTTGTCAGAAGCATCAGGAGTGGTTAGCAGTGGTCAGTAGAGGTCAGCAGAGGCGAGCAGAGGCAGGCAGCAGTCAGTAGTAATCGTTATACGTCGTCAGAAATATAAGCGGTGGTCAGCGGAGGCCAGTAGAGGTTGGGAGAGGTTGACAGTAGCCAGTCGTAATCGTTATACGTTGTTGGAAGTATCAGGAGTGGTCAGTAGAGGTTAGCAGAGGCGAGCAGAGGCAGGCAGCAGTCAGTAGTAATCGTTATACGTCGTCAGAAATATAAGCGGTGGTCAGCGTAGGCCAGTAGAGGTTGGGAGAGGTTGACAGTAGTCAGTCGTAATCGTTATACGTTGTTAGAAGTATCAGGATTGATCAGCAGCGGTCAGCAGCTGTAGGAAAATTCAGAAGTACATGTAGTCGTACCTTGTGCCTCGTACTTTTTACCTTATACGTCAGGAACTGGTTAAAACAGTTCTATGACATTACCTGCTAACTCAAGTTACTGTTCTAAAATTAAACGCTGTTTTGTACCTGCAAAAATATTCGACTATATCCTTATAAAAGTTAAGGTCCGACCCATTCTTTGTATTAAAGTGTCATATAATATTTAGTTCGTCATAACAAATTGATACGGCTATCTCTGAACATATCGAAGAAAATCATTTTCTCTCTGCTCGATTTAATTGGAATTAATTATACGAAAAGGGCAGAGAGGGAAGCACCTACACAGAAGGTGGCATGGGAGGTACATACTAGAAGGAAGAGACTTTGATATACAGAAATAATGGAGAGCAGTGTAAGGTTATAGGAAGAGGGGAGTTAAATTGGTGACACGAAAGTGTAGAGAGCATGAAATTGTGGAAAGAGACGAAAGTTAGAAGTACCAGAAAAGATGACAAGATCAGATTAAATAGCATGGTAGGTACATGGATGTAGGGGCAACTGGAAAGGTTGAGATATGTATATATAGAAATGTGTAACATATTTAGGATAGTAATAATAATGATGGCTGATTCTAAATAAAGATACGCAATGTCAATCGGTTCATTTTGATTTTATTTCTTTCCCGACATATAATGCACAATACGTTCGATTTCGTTAGTCGTAATGTTTTGCTAATCGTTGACGATTAGCGTGACCGTAAGTACTATGGTTTTTTTTGTAGTATTTGTTTTCTTGTTTTAATCGTATAGTACATACGTGCTCGTGGAATTCGTGCACTTTTAGACGGGGTCGCATCTCCGGGCGGTCGCTGTCACTGTATATACAATGATAGTCTTTCTTTTTGAGTTATGCGAGTCGCCCGAAATACGATTCGCAAACGGCCTCATTATCGTAAACAAATAAATAATTTATCTCCTCGAATACTCTCAACTTGAATCGTCACATTAGACGTAGGAGGTCAGCCTTACGATCTTATGATTAGTAACACTTAAGATTCAATACGGAAGATTGAAATACGTCGAGCTGGCCACTCTTTCGTCTTCCTGCCCGTGTATGTGATTTCCATGGTATCAACGATCGTTTTACCTGCCACGAAACGAAGGGAAGCCTGTTTGTGGCAACAGGTGCGTTTTCTGTTGTGAGGTTATGCTCTACGTTGCCGATTAAAGGGTTGAAGTTAGGGTTGTTATACGAGAAAAAGTTAATGTTAATGTTTTTGTTTTATCGCTAGGATTTTTGTTAACAGATATAAGAATAAACTCAGAGTTCTCCATATCTTCAAAAGAGTCGTACATATTTTCTAGTTCACCACGGCTACATGTTGTCAAAGAAAACGCCATCTAACGGGAAATTTTTTCTTTGAACTTACTGATTTCCCCGATCGAAGAGAGATCACTATTTTTCCCCCTCGTACAGTTTCCAGAAGAAAAAGGTCACTTTAGTTATTATTCACGCTCTGCTAAAAGGGGACGTACTACAAATTATTTATATAAGTACATATCACTATACGTCTATATCAACGCGTGCAAAATAATATTAATAACGAGGAAGACGATTGATGATGGAAGGTTCGTAACTGTTCCAGCGAAGGCAGACGAGGTAAGTGAGATCGTTTAATACATGAAACGGGTTTACGTAATATTCACCGCGTAGGTTATGTCATCCCTTTGCAAATTTTATAACCAGAGATTAATTTTGCCTTCACCTTTTAAATGGATCGTATACATTCTTTGGACCTATTATGGTTTGGAAAGGGACAGCTGTACAAGCGGAAAGATCTAAAGATCTTCTTTGGGCGGCTGAAGAACGTTCGATTGGCACAAAGCACGCCGGGAGTATCGCCAAACGCGCACCATACGACATCTATGAGTCATGTATATCACCTAAGACAATCGTCCTGCACTCCTTACTCCCACTGGGACGCGTCAAGTCGACAAAAAGAATGTTCTCTCTAAATCACGACACGACCTGCGCGCAGATTTCTTTGCCTTTAAACGTCCCGAAACGCGAGAACACCGTAATTGTTCCTGTAACGTCTTAAGTCTTTCTTCTCGAGTACCCGCAAATTTATATTAATTTGTATACCCTTGTATATTACCTAAATGATCCATATCGATACGCCAAAAAATTATAATTAATTTAAGGATTCGTACGTAAGCGTTAGTTGTCTCGGTCGAATCACACGATTGTATCGAACAAACATGTCGATGCTTGTTAATGAATATGCGCGAAGGAACTCGTAAGAGGAAGGAAGACGATAAAGTGGCTCTTAATTTTGCCCTCGACGGTAGTTGATTAACATCCTCTGCTCGTACACAATCACGTCAAAATGTGCATCGCGAGTATCATTATGCACACGTAGGATTAGAAATATGGTATACGTGCAGAGGTTTACCTGCAAGTACGCGCC